AAAACCAGCTTAAAAAATCATGTTTTTGTCACAACTGCTGCTGTCAACAGGTAGGTGAGTTGTGATGATGTTCATCATATGGGCTACCCTAAGTTAGGTTAAGTTGGTCAAGTTCATGGCAAGTGGCTATAGGAATTGTGCGGGAATCAGTCACTCACAACTGCTGCTGTGATACAAAAAGGTTATACAGGATGAGATGATGAAAGGCCTCTTTAGGTTAGGCATAGGCTACTTTCATAGAAATAGGCATTGGTATTTCGTAAGAAGCAGTGACAAAATGTTTGTTTTCCCTGACCGCATCTTAACAGAAGCCAGAAGTATGTCTATTGTGTTTGACTTGGTGATGGGCTGATGTGTAGGGGTCCAAGGCTTTTTTTTGGTGTTTTATGCTTGTTGCATTTTCTGCTGTTATTTTGTTATTGAATTCCTCTGCTTTGTTTTGCTTTAAAAGTGCTGTGGAAGAGAATTTTAAAGTGCGGTATCAAATTATTGGTGTTATAATTTGTGGCACTCATAAAACTGTCATGAAATTGCTATGCTTTAACACGCGCCCGGTTGACCGGCTAGATACCCTTCGCTCGGGTGGGGAGAGGGGGAGGGTCAATTTGACCCCCTCCGAGATCTTGGGAACTAAGGAAGCTAGAGACACCAGATTTACAGGATGTCTTGATCTATACGTGAACTCACTAAGGTTAAGATTTCAGCTTCATAGGTTATGACCTTCAGGTCGAATGAGGTCAAACAATGTCAAATTCTAGGTTGGTCTCCAAAGCGTCACCAGAACCTAGGCAACTATCTCAAAGCAAAAGATCACAAGCCCATTCGAGGTCATTGACCTTGTTTGACCCTTTGAGGGTCGTGGTGACTAAAATGATACAAAACTGCTCTGCGTTTTGCATTTGAATAAGCGACAAAGGATACGCTAGGCAGTATGTTTCTAAAGCAAACCGTTCGACCCGGGTCATCTTAGGTCAGTGGCCTGTTCTGACCTCTAAGAAGTCAATTGAAGATGTATAACGCGGTTCCTACTGTCAATAAATTTGAAATGAGCACCAGAAACTATCACATACAGCAAGCCCTAGAGTAATAAATCAGCTTGGTTTCGTCCTTGGTCTGATCATCATACCTGATCTTAGGTCAAAGTAATTTGCTCATTCAATATTTGTAGTGCTTCAGAAAGCATCTCAGAGATGCCTGTCTTCGTCAAACACTCCGTTGTTGTATCAGATTGAACGATTCCCTAGAAATTGCCTTCGCTGAAACCATGGGCTGACTTTAACCTGTCATAGGTCAGCGACCTTACAAGGTACATCTAAAATTTGCATCTCAAATGATTGCTATGCAATTTTCTACAGCTTGGCAAAATTTGGCGCGGCTACGCCGCGCCGTTAAGAAACCATTCGGGAAAATCCTTCGGGGGGGGGGGGGGGCAGGGGATTTCAGTTTGTCCCCTCCCCTCCCCACCAGGGCGCGTGTTAATGTGTTCTGTTTCACTTTAATGGTCTAAGATGTTAAAAAGCGAAATAGCTTTGTCAGGTTCCTGATATTACGTCCACGCCGACTTGAAATAGATGTGTTTGCCGAAGCATCAGTCACGAGCCCATAAGTTCCATCTTTTGTGAATTGATTTTTTCACTCCCGCACGCTCTTTTTGCGATAAAATTTTTCATTCCCACCCTTGTTCAAAAGCGTTTCTAGCTCCTTGCCCTCCCCCTCCCAGATGCGTTGTCCTGGCTGGTGTCATGCACTATGCGTCGAGACAACACTGAAGCTGTGTAGACCGCTGGCAATGCTCAAGCACGGCGTTCAAGTGTACAAACAAGCTGCTCAAGTGTGCAAACAAGTTGCTGAAGTATGCTATCAAGTTCAAACGGTCTGAACATGAGCCTTGTCTGTAACAACAGGCGTGATTGTGAGGAGGGCTGGAACGACGAGGACCCGTCCAGTGAGTCACGCTGGTACCCCGGGACGCCTGTTATAGGTCCCGGAGTTATTACATAGATACCCCCGTTGTGAATTTTGAGAACATGCCGCCGTTCTGGAGTAGAGCGGTTTAGCTCTGATTGGAAACATAGTGGCCCCGGCTGTGACCGAGCACATTTTCATATTGTATTTCTTCGTATTTCTCTGTAGTAAATCTGCTTAACGTTCCCTCCGTTCGCCTGTGACGTGCCCTTTGTTCTGGTGGTATTCAGCCCGATCTGCCCCCTGCGATCCATTCTGTCAAGGTTCCATTGTGCAGGGCGGTTATAAGGAAATCATAATTCAGAATTGTGTCTACGCATGAAACGCGCCGCGAGCAGTAAGGGGTTTCGTCCGGACGGGCATGACATTTCCTAATTAATCCTTTCCAACCCATTGAAATCATCAAATGGTATAAGCCTGCTGTTTTCTTGGAATCCAATGTTGCCTACTAAAATGTTAGTCCAACGGTATTTAATGTTCGTAGGCTGTGAGGCAAACTGAAACCGAGGCTGTAAAGCAAACTGTTTAGGGTTCGGTTAGTACAGCCACTTAACCGACAGGTCTGGTCAGGGTCGTACACTGAGGCCTCGGAAATATTCCGTCAAACGCCTAGATGTGTTTACCAGGGGGAGGGGTTCAAGTCGGCATTGGGAGCTCGGGCTCCCCGAAAATATGTAAAGTTACGCAGGTGGTCTTTCCCAGGCATCGCCCTCAAGCTGTACACAATCAGCATGGTCATCTGAATGCAGCTGCTTGCAGATTTAGCGTCAAGTGCGTCATGGCTAGGCATGGTGACTTGTTGATCTCCTCACTTTACACTTGTGACGCAGCTGTCATGATGAGGAATGCACTTCGCTTGCAGCGTTCCAGCATTCGGAGAGTGTTGTGACTTCACCATAAATTGTACGAATCGGCTGTGCCCCAAGCCTCAATTTCTGGAAATCTTAGGGTGCCTCTGACGAAGGAAAAATTGTCGTCTTCGGTAGTCCTTTGCCATGTAATTATGAACGAGTAATCCTTTCTCACAGCGGAGAGCTACGTATTGTAAATTTCCCCGTAAATAATTTTTAAAACAAGGTCACTTCAGTTAATCTGATTCGATATAAAATTAAAGTTTGTAGGCCGGGCGTGAGGAAGTCGTAAACTTATCTAACGACGCATGTTCTTTGATGTGCTGACTGGTTCGAGAACTACATACGGAACATCCGATATGGATATGGGTATGGAGCCTATCCTTGTCCAAGCAAGGAAAGGTTAGTCAGACACGCTCGCTGAAAATTTCAAAACTCGCTGAAATGTCTGAAAATATATACAGCTTTGAGCAGAGTGATACTATCAGCTCGACCTTAAATTATTCGACCTTCGCTCGAGGCTGTGGTACGCAACAGATCGTCATCGAAGGTCAGCCGGAGCTGAGCTGAATAGTCAGAAGTGGACACCGCAGCAAGAGTTGATCATTGTACTGCCCTGCATGAAGCAGGCAAAGCTATCTGCCAGGCGCCGGTCGAAGAGCGTTTTCAAGCTGGAGGAACCACTGTGAAGATAGCATAGACGTATTCATCAAGACGCTGGTGCTTGGCGTGAGGACATGCATCGTATAAATAAAAATAGCTTATGACGCCGATCGCTCATGCACTTGTTTACATGAGCCGCAGGTAGTGGGTTTTCACTGTGCCATTCACGTAACGTTTATTACATTCGGTACGTTTGGTGAAGCCACCAGGTACCAGAACAGCACATCACAAACAACATACAAACTACAACTGTTACTTAAAACAGCAGCTGGTCTAGTCAGTTTGACCGTCCTGCATCAGTGTTGTTTATTCTATCTTTCTTTCATTGTAGGTAAACTGCCATGAAGAAAATGACAAGTTCATAACTATACAAAAGCCACAACCAGATATCCAATTCAGTATCATTTGTAGATGCACCACATCGCTCCTTCAAGTAACACCTCCGGAGACAGGTGTGAAAATAATTTGACGCAACAGCGTTACGCGATCAAGCCTGACTTTTCAATACGGGCAAAATGCAGGTAGCAAGCACAGGTAGCAAGACACTGTTTTCACTTCATACGTCTACTGAAATGCTCGCCGTGTATGCAGTGCGCTACATAGGCTTATCGTGTACGTGTTGTGTCGCACATGCCAAAAGCCAGAAGCACGAGGAAGAGTTGACGCCAACTTAAGTAATCTTTGCGTGAATATTTTTTCTGGAACGGAACTATTGATGAGATCCACCAATTATCCTTGTAAAAACAAAGCCAACGCTATTCCGGCTACAGTTTAAACAGTCAGTGTTCAGGTACATGCATACGTACAATTATATATAAACAGATACATACACTTCACGTCTAGGCGTGCGGTGCAACTTTCAACGGTTGCATCGCAGGCAAAAATCAAAGCAAAACAAAACACGTACGCCACGCAGTTTTAACACACAGGACACACAAAATGCTCAAAACGCCACGAAAGCACATGTAATGTCGCACAACCCACCACCAAAAGCTACAGCCAGACGTTACTTTGTCACGATTTTGAATGGGTATGACGAGGTCACGTTGTTTAGCGTTGGACAATGTCATGGCACGCGCTGAAATTCGAAATCACTTTTGCAGTATGCAATTTATACCGACGAAAAGCTTTTGCCTCGTTTCCGATCTGGACTACTTGAGGTCATTATTGTGACCTGCATGGCGACCCACTAACCTAAAACCAAACAGGAATGCATTCAGATCAGTTTCACAATGAGTAAAACGCTCACTTTTTAATCCGATACTTCTTCTTTCCTAGTCTAAAATCTGACATGGAGAGGTCTGTCAGGCTACTCTCGTGAGGCGAGGGTGTATGAATAGTCTCGCCAGGCAAGGTTTAAAAGTTTTAAAGTCTGGGAGCATATAGTCTCTTATTCCGTTTGGGACAGGGGCCTCAGCCCCCCGCCCTACTTTACTGAACTTTACTGTTACTGAACGGGGAAGCTCAAGCTTCCCCGTTCAGGCTCACCTCCCCCCTCCCCCCTCTCCCCCCACTTGGGCTCAAGGCAAGAGTTGGAGGAAAAAGTGGGGTAAAACATAGTTCGTTCTAAGCTTTGAAACGTGAAAGGGCGAGGGAATGTTGGGCCGCTTCCTCGCTCCCAGCCTCGGATATTGACTAGTCTGCAAAATGTCAGGGAAGCCCTACATCAGACTGGCCTTAACGCTTCAGCCCGATCTGTTAAGCTTAAGATTGGACAACGTTTTCGGGTACTGCTTAGGAATTTCATTATCCTTCTGAATCCGGTCAGCGTTCCTGTTCGAGTGATTAAGTACATGCAGGCATGGATGCCACGAGCATCACCACTCCGACGCCACGACGTTCGCCGTTTTTCTGAAGCTCTCGTCGTTATTCACCTCCGCGGCGCAGCTTACGGCAGTCATCCCGATACCACTGCCACTGGTGCGACAGATGACAGCCTGAGGTGCCACAGCGGTTACGCACTTCAGTGCACTGTCAAATTATCTTGACAATCCACGTCGTCGATATAATTCGACAGTTCATCTAATTGCGTATCGATCGTACGTTTTAGAACGTGATTCACTGATGACGGATGCACTGATGAACCAGTCGCGCAGTTCACTGGCTGAACTCAGTGGTACACTTCACTATCCCGTTGGCGGTGGTCATTTCCACACTTCACTGGTTCACTGGCGATGGCAATGGACATATCACTGGTTCGCTGACTGCGATTGCTCGACACCGCATTACTCCGCCGGCACTAGCAGACGTAACCAGCACCGGACCACTGGTGATGATTTAGTCGCACGCTTCATTATTTCGCTGCCGGCGGCCGGCGACACATTCCACTGTTTCAGCGCCGACTGTCAGTCGTACATTTCACTGGTGGCATGGCGGTGCCCTCGACTCCTGCGGCTGTGTTGTCTCCAGGAGCCGGGGCCAGCTTTGCAGGGTCGCCCCTCCGTCCTCAGAGGCAGACTGCAGCTGGCCTGCACACTGCCGATAGACTGGCGTCAGTGATACCAGTGATTGAGTTTTGAGCTTCAGGCCGAGACGACGTCAAATGCAGCTCCACGGTGGCAAGCAAACAGGAAGCAGCTGGCGCCGCTATACAGATAGCCTAGCGTGACACCCTGGGACATAAGGTTTTGATTACCAGCGTCGCTGGCATCGCTTCCGCCAGCCTGTCTTCTGAACGCGTGCAACGATCCGCCTCTGGCTCAATATTTCGTCCTCAAGCAGTCGTCTCGCTCTCTGATTAAAGCGGGCCAGATGACGGGAAACAGCACCCGCTGATTGGCGGAGAGCCAACGACGAAGTGTCGCCCGGGCAACGCTGCCGGAGCTGTGCTCACCGTGACCTTTGGCCCTGTTGGGTAAAGTCCACCAGAGACATCATGTCCTGGGGACCGTCCTCCACCGGGTACTTGCACACCCGCTGACTCCATGTCGGCGCTTCAGTGTCGTTGCCTGCAATGGCGTGGGAAAGCGAGTCGTCGTCACCTGCGTTAAAAAGGCCACGTATTTGTGTTGTGAGGCATTCCATTCGCCAGTTCAACTTTGGCGAAAGTTACCAAATCTCAATATTTGAACGAGTCATAGCGTTGATAGCCATGGGACGGAATTAATTGGCACATCTCCATGCTTCCGCTCTACCTTTGTCATCACCGATCCCCGTGGTGCACGTCTTTATGGTGAACGATCTCTTCCAGGACTGCCGGAATGTGTGGATCCTCTTCTCCACCTGCTCCACAAACTGCACCGTGGAGAGAGTGTACAGCAACGGATTGACGGCGGCGTTCAGCGGCAGGACGAACACGGCCACCCAGGCGTACACCTGGCGACGGGGCATCAAACGCCAGCGTCAGGACAAATACAGCCACCCAGGCGACGCGGCACAAACCGTCAGCGATCAGGCCATGTCAGGCACGCCGGATATAGTGTGGATCATCCCGCAACAGTGCGGACTTTCAGCGCGAACGACGGTCACCTAAGATCAAGCATGGCCGGTGGCGACGAGAACGGATCAGTATAGCACAATGTAGACCAAAAGGTCCAAAGGCATTCGCATGGCGTGTCAAGAGTCACTGCACTGCGGCGCAACTAAAATACATCGCCACGGAGCCACGCGCAAACGTTGAAGCACCTTGACGCCCCAATTTGATAGCCATAAAACCCGAGTAGTGACGCCGGTGGCCTGAGTTCTGAAACAAACGGCCCGGCATTTTCCATAGCGCGCTGAAAAACCATAAATTTGAAAAGCTTTGAATTACGACGAAGAATAGGCGTCGGGGAGTGACCTTGCCATGTTTGATGGTCGCCTTTGTCACGCACGTAAACCACGCTTTTAGAAGCTTTGAGCATTATTCTGCGCTCGGCCGGGGAGGGGGAAGTTAACTTCCGCCTACGGTTGTTCGACCACAGCTCGAATGGGAATGGTCACAGCAACACCAAATTTTCATTGCCTGTTAATCTATCAAGTTGGCATCCTTGAAAAAAAGAAATTTTGATCTGACAAGGTCTGCGACTTGAGCCCACAGAGCACATGACATCGGCCTAGGTCAAAACAATTCTGTGGGCGCATTCTGCAAAACACATGCTGAGCTAAAAATAGTAAATTTTAGTTGGAAATTTTGGGCGCAAAATTTAACATTCCACAGAAGCATGTGATATCTCTCTAATGCCCAGTGAGGTCACAACAGGTCATGCGAGGACACGTAAGGTCATATGAGATCGTCCAAAGCCATTGACCTCCATAATCAATAGCGGAGAGCCTAGATGAACGAGTGCGACGCATGTAACCACCTCTATATCGCGTTTGTGTATCCGATGACGTATAATTCATGTGCCAACGTGCCTGTTTTCAATTTGTTATAAACACACTGACAAGCGAAGAGGGGCCTATGCATAATGTATGTAAAGGCTACGCGATCTTGAATACCTGTAGCCTGTGGGTGTACACCATTTCTCACCACAGAAAAACAACACTGCACTGATTACTTAGACCCGGTTAGCACTTGAAGTCTTGCATTTGGATGGCTTATAAATTCGAGTAAATTCACTCATCTGACCCCTAGGTCAGCTTAAAATGTGTGTTTGTGTCTGGGATACTTTTGTCGCATCTTATCAGATCAATTTAGTCAGAAGCACATCTTGAAAGAAAACAAAAAGTATCGTTCTTGTAGACTAATGGCAAACAACCTGTCAGCGGTGACCTGACCTGGCCCTTGTAGAGAGACAAAAATGATCGGAATGGGCTCCCCACAGTCTTACTGCGTTGCTCGCAATATCCGTCTTGACGCATAAATACATGTTTTAACTGCATCTATCAGAGCAATCTATTTATCTTGCATGGCCTCTCGTGACCTCACACTTCATCTAAGACAAAACAGCTGGCTAGAAGTCTCCATGTTTTGAAGAAACTTTCACAACGGAGCCTGTGTTTATTTCGTGCGACGTCGAGCAGTTGAGATCGCAGGGGAAAAGTCAACTTCGTCTGGCCGGGCGAGGTTGTCCCAGACCCGTGGCCGGACGTGTATTAATAGAACCGTGTGCAGCTTTGGTGAGGTTTGTATGTCATTTGCTATTTTGATTTCGAAAAGCATTAAAACATTACCTAACTCGTTGCATGCATTTGCGAGAAACACTACTCGCATAGATAAAACAGTAGTAATAGCCTCAGTCCTTGCAGAAAACCAGGAGAATGGATATATAGATGCGTAGATATTTCGTCAACATCCATCTATCGAAACAACAGTAGAAATGAAGTAGCAGATACTGTCTTATCAATGTCCAAAAAAAAAACATTTACAAAGGCAAGCACGACTGTTCTGTTATCAGAACAGCCAGGAGAAGTAACTAAGAGCCTGACCAATCACACATCTGCCAGGGTGTGATTGGTTGTCATGACGCCGCTGTTTCTCGTTACCTGTGGCGGCACGCTGACTCCACACAGGGAGACGATGCCGAGGGTGATGATGGGCAGCCAGCACGCGGCGTCCGTAGCGACGATGATGGACATTCGACGGGCCATGGCTCCTGTACAGCAGAGTACGGACGTGTCAAAAGTACAACATTCAGTTATCGCTGAAGAAAGTAGAAAACTCGGGGAAGCCATGCTTACTGCTATCAACAGAAGACATTGCAACTGTTGCCGAATAAACAGACATGGATAGATGCGTCAAGCTAAGATCGTTTTTCATTCCTGTATGACCATGACTATTATTGCAAGAACACAACTATTCTTTGGTGGGCATTGGCCATTCTGAACCACGCTGTGCGCTCGTACAGTTTCATCGCCCAGTCCTCTCGGCGAAGGATTGCTGCATTCGTGACCGTTTCGGGAACATCAAATCATCTGTCGGTCTACTACCTGCGCTCCCATGGGCCGGATAGTGTTGAGATCGCAAGGCAATTTGCAGCGCCGACGCATTGTCACCGCTCAACCGTGCAGCTGGTTTAAGTGTGTCAGCTGCTCTGGTGGCGGAAATCTAACATAAGCCCTTTCCTGAAAAATCCACACATCTAACCGTTTTTGTTTCGTTTGCGCCTGAGAGCGCGTGGCTGTCTGAACACTTCCACTCACACATTTTCACCGCGATCGAACGCTCCCTCGGCCGTTGAAATGTGTCGGCCTCGCGTTGTTGACGGCTCGTCGAAATCTCAGCCCGTTTCCGGCACGAGTCTGGTGTCATTCTACAGTATTGTTATCACTTCAGCCTCTAGCTTTCAAGACAGTTACGTTTCCGTGATAAGCGAATGTGGCACGCTGTATTGTGTGTACATCGCAACATTGCAGGACTATCACATCTTATCACATGGTTGTTTAGATATTGCCTGAAATTGGTATCATTCGTCTTTAGGCGAATCTGCAGCTGACAGCTGCACCAAGTGTCGACCAGCGGCTGCGAACATATCAACCTATAAAAAGCGTGATGCGCTAAGGGAAATTCCTCCCCAGGAAGTTTCCAAGAGAGTGAACCCTCTCAAAGACGTCAGAATAAGTCTAGAAACAGCGTGTTTAGGAAGTTCGTTATCATTTTTTTACAGCTCAATCGCTTTGACCACGTAGTTTTTGGAGAGCCACTTTTAGACCGTTGAAAAGACACCTATCAGGTTGTTTCAAGACATCAAAAATATTCCCATGCGTGAGTCTTATTATGCCTCGCAAAAGGTCACAGTGAAGTCATGGAAAACGTGACACTGTTCAAAGAGTTGGAATACCCCTGACGGCACTTATAGACGAGTTAACCTGAAACATTCTTCAAGGGAATGTTTCACATTTGGAGATACTGTGGCAGACATTGGATATGATGAAATAAGTTCACTTCTAGGTGCTGGTCAATTTCGAAGTCGAAAAGCCTGCTCTAGACAACGCAATTCCTCTATTTCGTTGATGTGCACCTCAATACGTCATTGTTTGCGTCATGGAGCGTTTGTGTGACAGCACTCACTTCTAGTTCTTCAGTCATCCGGGAGGTGGCCCGCGGTGGTGCTGGATGGATGCTGAACCAAATATTGTTAGGTGCTCGAGTTTTGGCCGTCTCTCATGGTGTTCTTGCAAATTGATCCGCGAGTCTAAGGTGCTGACTTGTGTTCACATGCTCAGCTTCGCGCTATTCTTAAGATATTCGATTGCAAGTTTTTTCGAAATAACTGGGAAGAATGTGTTACTTTTTGTTTTACATGCCACAAAACGTGATCCCTATTAGAATATTGCATGGCTTGCACAAAATTGATTAGGAGCCAACTGATGAGCGTTATACATCTGATAACCGTGCGCACGAATACCTGATATAAGCGTCTCAACAATTATATTTTTTGCCTTGAACGCAGCATGGTCATTGGAATGTCAGCATTCGAATGCCGTTATCAAGGCGGCATGATGTCTGGGGGGGGGGGGGGGGGGCGGCGCGTTGGGGATTTACGACGCACTCAGCTGCTAAGGCTTTATGGCATCGCCTGCCTCCCACCCTGGCGGAAAGGGCGGGCACCGTGGGGAATCAAACCCCGAACAGAGTAAATTCAGGGGTCAGGGGTTCGGCCACCCTGTAATCTCAAAAATCATCACAGCTTGACATCAATTTCTCAGGGAAGGTCGGCCGATATGTAAACGTACTTGTACTGTGATTCTGAGATACTTAAATCACGGCGCATGGGTCATATAACGTCAAACAAGGTCAAATTCCTGTTCCGTGTGTGCCTTAAACCGAGCTTCCTCTTCAGGGAAAAGTTCACTGGTGTTTACCCAAAGTCGATGACCTTATTTGACCTTCAGAATGTCGTAGTAACCAAAGCCTACGAGATTGTTTTATTTTTTGAACTAAGATGTGTCAATAATTAGGCCAGGAAGTATGCTCATACTCGCACCATTATCTTTAAATGTGAAACCTTCCCTGTAACGGAGGCGGTGTGATTAACTTATGACTGATCCCCTAGTTTGGATGTTTAAGGGGTAAAATACGCCCTATTTCGTCGACATCGCGTGTGTGTCTGATCAAAAGGGATGCAAGCTGTATCGGTGTGACGGTCGGTTGACTACAAACATTTAGAAAATGTGATGTGAACAAACGCGACCCCATTAACCGAGGGTTTTAATCGCGAAGAACCATCAGCAGGTCAAAGAGATGCCCACCATAGTATCAAAAGATTCCTGTAAAAGGGATATGATACCACTTCCTAACACGGTACCTTCCAGGGGATACACTAATGGTTTGGGGACGAAATTTTTCGGTATCAAAAAACTCCCTGTTATTCCTTACATGATGTTCACACCGTTCTCTAAAGCTACACCGTGCAACGACACGATTTCGCCGTTTGGATTTTTCTCAGTGTGGCTGGGTTGGGTCACTCAACTGGAACCTGTTATCATAGTTGAAGCAAGACTTGTTCGTCCGCGACACCGTCTGTGGTAAAAACCGAGATAGAGGTCACCTGGAGTAGAAGAATACCTTTGAAGTGATCATTCCTGTTCAGTGTTACGACAGTTTTTCATGAGGTATTACGCTTTTAGGTACCCGAATATCCGCTCGATAATATGTCATACTTATTAGCTTAGTACGCCACATATATTTCATCCGGTAGTGTTGTACTCTCGGAAGACGTCCTAAATGCATGTCGTACTAAGTAGAGTGCAGTGATGGCTCCACGTTTTTTATTTGTCAGGCACCATGCATGCGAATCCCTGTGCATTAGTCCTACCACAACCACTCTTCTAAAGTGAACTCGTAACGAAGCATCGGCTGCCGAGTTTGGCGCCAGCGAGTTTCCCGGCCTTACCGTCCTGCCTCGTGTGGCGCTGCGATCGCCGCCGCAACGCCGGAACTGCCGCCTGCGTCCGCTTGGCTGCCACGAACATGCAGGCGTACCCAAGGGCGATCACGCCGAAAGAGAACAGGTTCAGAACTGGAACACAGTCGGCGAGGGCGTCGGACGGAGTGGCTGCGGTTGACGAGCTGAGCTCTCGTCCGTCCGACGGGCGAGGCTGCACACCTGACCTTAGGTCTCGCACCTTGTGGTGGTTTCGCCGCCTTTGACGGTGTAGGGGTACGACCCCTCAGTAAGATGATGCTACTGTCAAGAGAGCCGGTGCTGAAATTCCCCGCCGATGGTGCGCCTAACAGATGAACATTACGCGCGATCAGGACGACCTCTGCTCTTATCGAAACAGGTTAGTTTGTATAACATGGTTGACCTCTAAACATCCAAAACTGAAGGGGTTTAATCTGCCCCACCTTCCTATTAGATAAAGTAAGCAGTCCAGGCACCACAAGCTATCAGCAAATATTTCTTAGTCTACTAGCGGTAGAAACACGTGTAGTTAACCTATGAACCAATCAATTGGTCCGTAACTATGTTGCATCAGTCTGTCAGTCAACACACCAGTTAGCCGCGATCGCCGCCAGACGGCGCCGACGAGTGACAGCGCGTGACGCTAGTGCTATCAAACTGCGGCACGCACTCGCGGATCACTGCCGTTTTTGACGTAATTCTACGAACATGACGCTGCTGTTTGCCTTCGTCTCGTTATGAGGACCCATTGCCCAGTTTGACCCCGCCAGAGATCCTGTGAGCTCCCGGACCTCACTCCGCGATGGGATTGCCCATCCGCCATTTGCGGAATACCGGGGTGAGAGGGGAGGGGGAGGGGGGGGGGGAGGAGGCGAGGGGGACATGACAGCAGGGCCGGGATTGGAACCATCCCAAACGTTTTTTTTTTTAAAATGTAAATTGAATGTTCCACATTTGAAGATATTGAAGCAAGCATCCGATATAATGAAAAAAGCACAATGATAACAATTGGTATAATTTTAAGTGGAAAAGGCTGCTATATACAACTGCATTTCTCTTAGGTAAACGTGCTCCTCAACACGTCCTTGTTCGATTACGTCAACGTACCTCGCACAAAAATGATTGAGAGCCAATTGACTGCCGTGATATCTGGAAATCGTGCTCACGAACGCCAGATATGAACCCCTCGACCATTAATTACCATCGGCCTCGATCACCGCATGGCCACTGGAATGACAAATCTTAATGACGTTATTATGGTGCCATGGATGCCTGGGTGGCCTTAAAATCGTGTCCCCAAAAATCTTGACATCTTTGCGGGCGTGTAGCTCAGAAACTAGAAGGGTCCAGGTTTTAATAAAGGCAACGATGTGCTCTGCACCGAGCAATCTTCAAGATAACTATTTCAGCTCCAAGCCTCATACAAATGTCGAACACTCGCTTGAAGGCGTTCGTGGGCACCTGGCAGACTTCCCTCCACCAGACTGGGCTGTGTCAGGAAATCAGCGTAGTCGGTCTGCCCATGTAACGTTACCTTTCAGCTTCCATTGACCTGGGCTCATCCCCCGTTCAAACCCACCTTTCGGCGATAACGTCACGATTTTGCAGCGCAGCATATGCTTCGCGCAACGCCCTGCTTATGATTGTGATTGGCCAGTGCAAAGGTGACGGCGATATTCAACAGCTGTGTTCATCACTGCCAACCGACAGTGATTTTCTATTACTAGTCTGGTTTGACACTTAGAGGGGATGCTCCTCATTTGTATGGGGTTTTGAGCTGAGATAAACGCTTCGAAGAACTTTCGGTGCAGTTCACAGTCCTGCTGCTCGTAAGACCCAGGATCCTCTAGTTTCTAAACCGCCATAGCAGCGTCATTAAAATCCTGCACGCCCCATAGGCTGGGCGGTGTTCAATGCCAAGAAGTATTTGATCGGCGCCGTTCAGATCTGGCGGCCGGAAGCGCGATTTACAAAAAAGGACGCCAACTGGCTCTGTAACAATGTTAAGTAAGCTGTCTACGCTTCAGCTACAAAGCTCGCTTTGGGCCACATAATAGAGTAAGTTGGACACTATTTCTGCACATGCTCGTCTTACGGAAATAAGACCTGCAATCGATTAACTTCAGAACAACGCCATAACCGGGTGTGTAAATACAAGCAAACATCTTTAACCCGCATATGAACATGCAAAAATACCGAGATAAAGGGACAGAGTGCGAGTACATAGCGATATTTGACTCCGTGATCACTTCCGCCACCGCCACTCTCATCTCTCGGCGAGCGTGAAAGTAAGGGCTAGGGTGGCAATTTCGCACAGCTAGTTTGGGAAGCCCCTCGACGTCATATAAACGCTTTATAACGCAATCAAGCAGTGAGGTATTGGGAAGCATATGTATCGAATAGAAAAATTGTGTTGTCTAAAGCGGTCTTTTCCATTTAAAAGTATAGCAATAGTTATAAGTGAGTTCATTTTATCATATTTGATACTTGCTTCAATATCTTGAAATGTGGAGTGTTCCCCGTAACTACTTAGTACTTCATCTACGTTTACGGTGAACAGGCATTACAAACACCATCGTAAGCCCACGTAGAGGCGACATCTCGTGCAGTGGTGTATCCACACCGAACTCAATACGCTTCCTTGCAACATGCGATATACTTCTGAAGCCCAAACGCAAGGACGCCATACGTGTGGCTTGTTTGTGGAGGCGTAGGGACCAGTCGTGAATAAGCTGTAACCTTAGTGACCACTGGGCAACAGCCGATCACGTGCCACGGTCGGGACTGGTGACTGAAGGACCGTCAGCGCCAGCGGCGGTAGGCGACGGCCGGCAGACGCCGCGGCGGTGGGTCACGCTCCGACCGCGTGATCTTTTGTTACCGGCCGGCGGGTAGGCTGCGCCGCCGAGCCGACCGCGCGCGCTCACGGCGCCAGACATGACCTCCGGAAACTGTCGTGGTTGCAAGGGGATTTGCTCCTTGTTCCCCGTTGCCGAAAGCGAGTAGCGTGGTGGAGGGGCCATATGTCGCCCCACCCTGCCCCAGGGCGGGCTATTGCGACAGGTCCCCTGGAGACCGTGTTTTGACGGTAGGTGTTGTTACACTCTCCCACATCTACGCAACATTGTGCCATGTCGTCGGGGTCAGGCTAGTTGACGTTGGAGCATACAACTTTCCCTTTAACAAGTAAATCCATGGAGTACAGTGAAGTCGGGTAGACATGCGATGATCTAGTGTCACGTTGCCACAGATAATCTACTACTTAAACACACCTAAATAATGGTATCAGTACACCATGACGCATCTATATACTTGCTTGAAATATGTTGTGGTGGTGTGATATTACGGAAATCACGCCTAACACGATTCTTCAGTCAGAACAAAAAGATACCTCTTCTCGTCCTTTTCCCTCCACGATGCAACTTTGAAAGTGGAGGCAAACAATACGAGCATGTGGCATCTGTGATTCATGGTATTGGCTGTTTCATGAGAACCCTTCATCCACTTACTGAGGAACACGAACACAGAGTACTGCCAGCCGGGCGGGTAGTCCGGTGTTATGTGCAGCGCCAGACACACGCCCGATCTGCCGTAGAAACCGCTGAAACCGAACACTGTGTCACGAGAACTAATCCCGAAAAACGGCTGGTGAGTAGAACAACAACAACGATCTGCGTAGGCACTGTGCTCGGCACGTGCACATAATGCTACCGAAGAAGATTGCGCATGACAGCAGACAGAAATAAGTTGCGAATATTCCAAGGTTATCTTGTGCTGCGATGCCATATGCACACACACACACACACACACACACACACACACACACACACACACACACACACACACACACACACACACACACACACACACACACACACACACACACACACACACACACACACACACACACACACACACACACGCATACACACAGATATATATATATATATATATATATATATATATATACCGTTTTATATACAATGGTAGGATATCATCCTCTTGAGGATCACTTGCAGCTCAGTGATCTCACTGGAAGTTTAGAGACCCAGAGGTTCGGGGTTCAATGGCCGTGGTGCACGCCCTCCTTGCCAAGATGGCGGCTGGTGGCGCAATATAGCCTCTGCTGCTGAGTACTCCCTAACCTCTAATAACCAACCAACCAATTTCATTAGCATTTCATTTCATCGGTAATGCGATTCCCCATCCATTCCTTTTCGAAGACTTTATATGTGGGGTGCCGCTTGAGAACATGCGCAGAACAAGGTCCATGCGCCTGGCTGCCCAGTCGCCATTACCAAGGATTTATTCCCCAAGCAAATTCCGATCTAAATGCAGCCCTTCACATTTCAACACTTAATTCAAGGTGCTCAAAGTTTCAACCATCGCCGGGGAGAGCTATTTTCACAGGTTGTTTGTCTAGAAATCCAGCAATATCCAATTTCACTCCTTGAGCTGCAAATAACCCATGCGACCAATTTCATCTATCGTGGCCAAACAGTGGCCCTCTAAATCAATTTAACTTCAGTGGTTGCGTAGGAATGTAGAAAATGCGACTTCCCGGAGCCAAGAATGACCCATTTCAAGACACACGGAGACACAACCGCATCCCAAAAAATAATTGGTCGAAAAAGGCAACCTATGTCATATATAAGCCCAGCAAGACTACCATACACCACTGGTCTTATTGGGCACCGCAAAGGTTAGCTACCTACAAAGGTCACGTGATGTTGGTGAACTACAGTTCCGCACAGACTTCGCGCCCAAAGACGCTTTTCAGAATTAAGTACCCTTGCACCCTTAATCAGCTTTTTTGCATCAAAAAGGCTCTGCAGGCATCCATACACCTGGTGATAACTAAATGACGTGACTCACCTGGAACCAGCTATTTTGGGGAAACACGTAGGGCAAAATGAGTGTCACCGGTTAGTTTTTACGACGCTGCCTTTCACCGTTTTCCTGTGGTTTTAAAAAACCCTGGGGGAACGACGTCGTTCAATCTTACGAGGGGGAGCGCCGCCCTTCAATCTTACAAGGGGAGCGGCCCCCTTCAATCCTACGAAGGGAGCGGCGCCCTTCAATCCTACCAGAGAAGCGGCGCTCTTCACTCGCTTGGTGGGGGTGTCGTCATTCTATATTAGTGGTGTGAGCTTTCAAAACATGCTTCAGAGTGTCTTAATGTATCCTGAAACGACGATGCAAATGCGACCAACAACAGAGGATGCCCTAGTTGCTTCACACAATAACATCATGCCGCGACAGTAATGTACAGAATAAATTACTTCAGGTTCTGACAAGCATCGGCATTTATCTTAGAGCACAGATAGCTTTCATCTTTAACAGCACACAGAACAACTGACTGTCAGCGAGGCCAATGACTTGGTCCTCAGTGCACTCGGTCACTGAAGCGAAAGCTTTTGGTTTGATTAGAAGCGCTCATCCGATCCAGTAGCCTTGAACAGCCATGGATATGTTACACAAACAACGAGGCGGGTGAAGTTTTCAATTCGGTGTTTTTTTTCCAGTCTATCGCATACACCAGACATTTTTCGATTCACAACAACGAAGGGTCCAGTGCCTGTTCCAAGAGATGCTCGCTATTTCGGCATGTAGACACACACACACACACACAGACACACACACACACACACACACACACACACACACACACACACACACACACACACACACACACACACACACACACACACACACACACACACACACACACACACACACACACACACCACCCTCCCCTACACGGTATCTTGATAGATGAAATCCAAACGAGGCTCACGAAAGCAGCACACACAAGCTAGAACCTGAGCCGACGTTTATGTTCACGGAAATGGATCAAAGTAGGAGCGTTACGCAATTGGTCTAGCTGATGAGGTTGAACCATCGGCGTTGTTACATGAGCCGAGCACTCAGGTCGGTCTGTGAATTGGAACTCCCGAATGGCATCTGGGCCGGCCATGATCCAGCAGCACGTAAAGCACGCCCCATGCCTCAGATGCTTCATTTTGGCCGTTCTAACGATTGTTTCCAAACCGTTCGCAATAACTGAACGCTGACAAAACACACAATCGCAGGCACGAGTCGCGTGGAAATGTCCGGACATGACTTCCATGGAGAAGCTGGCACGGTAACGGAGTGAGAGGCGGCATAAAAAATATTTGGACAAATTGATCGGGAAACACTAAATCATGTCATTTTGTGAAATCCCTGCAGCGTGGCCTAGCAAAGTCTGCCGTTTTAAATCAATCATCGCTACCCATCTAAATGAAACCTTTTGAAACATGGCCAAACATGATAGAGCAGCAGTCCCAAAGAAGCGTGTGTGAACACCTAATAGGATTGGGAACCAAAATTTTCAACTGAAAGTCATTTTGAGCTAACCTAAGGGACCCTAACACTGAGCCCAAAGACATGGCACCTGGATCACTTACTTACCTGTGCTAAAAATCACAAACTGGCGCTATTCGTTCCCGCAAACGAACATCAAGGCCACTCCTCCTGCGCGGTCAACGGCATCTGCAAGGTTATAGCCTGGCCCAACGAGACGGGTGTTCCGTGAGGAACTGACCTGAAATAATCCGGAACTGACCTGAAATAGCCCGGAACTGGCCTAAAATAGTTCGGAGCTGATCAAAATGGTCCGGAACTGACCTGAAATAGTCCAGCGGCAGGAAGGGCGTGGCGGCCAGCAGGGTGACGCCGGTCCAGCCGACCAGCATGATGGCTCTGGTGCGAGACATCTCCAGTCGGTCCAAATGGAACGGGAATATGATCACCAAGAACCGGTCCAGCGTGATCACTGCAACGGGACGGCAGGTCAGAACATCGGGCGACCGCAGTCACCACGCGGAGAGTGAGGAGCGCGACGTAAAACAAGATAACACTTACATCGGCACACACAGACGGCAGCATGACATCAAGGAATCCGGGTGGTGTTTACGCCGTGTAAGTACCTTGCATCGCATTACAATGATTGCTTGCGTACCAGGCAAATAGGTTTCTTGTGTCGTTAAGGTACAGTGGCGCGCTGCCATGGGACGGAAATAGGTGGAATAAAGTTACTCCAATTTGCATCAAACATGGCCCAGTGTTCCGTGCATTACGCGCTTGTGAGTGTCTCTCCTTGTTTTGCGACAAAGCCCCGTATCAAAAAACGATGGAGGTATATCCACATGGTCACGACGACAAACGTCGAACAAAAAAATAAGATTAAAACAGAAAAGTGTGCCTTTGATTACCTCCCTTATTAATGCGTGCTTTCCAAATGGAGGGCCAAACCTCTTGAATGATTGGATTTCAAGGATCAAAGTCGCTTTAGGCGGCGCTTGTTGCGTGAGTCCTGACTCTTACCCTTCGGTCGTGAAATTCCAGGCTCATCGACAGAATTCACCCTGCGCCCGGCCGAGGGCCTGAAACAACCGAGCCCTGTGCGGAGAAGGCTAACTTCCCCCATGAGATCTCCAGCTTTCAGACGTCTTACGAGAAAAACAAAGATACCGTTGTGGAGTTTTCGTCAAGTGATGAAGAATGCACCCAAAATTGTTGACCTTAGGTCAAATGTGAGATCACCACAGCTAGCGAAATGTAACAAAACGGTAGTTCTAATCGATGAGGTTGAAACATGTTAGCACACCGAGACGGATATAGGGGGAACAAAAGAAAACGTTACGACTGTGAGGAGTCCATTCTTCAGTCCATTCAGACAAGGTCGCCCACAAAGGTCGGTTGAGATCAGGTCGTCGCTCAAAATCGGTCTTTAGGTAGCCTAAAAAAAACTTTTTCTTTTCCTTCACAATCTTTTTTTGACCTAAAATATCTTATGAACTACAGCTGTGGAAAAAGTATCCCAGACATGCGAATATCCTTTTACCCTGACCTAGAGGTCAGCTGGTACCAGGCTAGGTCAAATTTATCAAGCATCCAGATGTAAAAGTGGTAACCGGGTCTTCATGATATGTGCGAGACTTTTGTGGTCAGAAACCGGCTGTCAAGTATATGCAGATACCCAAAATTGCATAGCTGTTATATATATTATGTATAGCCACTTTGACACTTGGTAATGTGTTTGTAACACACCGAAAGCAGGCACGTCGGTACACAACATCGCACGCCATCAGCTTCACAAACACGATACTGAGCGAGGCACTCGTTAAACGTGTCGCACTCGTTTATCTAGCCTCTCCTCTAATGACATGGGTCATTTGCCTTGGATGACCTCACATTACCTTTAATTTCTGCACGAGACCTACGGTGACCTCATTATGCATAAGAATATCACAACATGTTTTCTGTGCAGCATGCGAGATATGCGCCCAGAACCAGGAAATATCACTGTCTATTTTGACCTCGGCATGTGTTTCGCAGAAGCCATCAATAGAAGAAGGTCATGACCAAGGCCAAGGTTCTGCGTTATCTGGTTATATGATGGTTGTGCTTGCACGATAACATTCTTTTACCCATTTATCGAAAACAAAATTACACAAAAGTACGTACAAATTTCATTGTGTACGAAAAAGTCGAAATTTGCCTGACTTCAAGTCACTCATTTCGCTGGTGTAAAAAATCTGAAAGATACAAACTGTAGGTACTATCATGATCTATTACGACAGCAAGTTGAGCAATGGAGGTCAATCCATAAAAAGTCATGTCTTCCGGTCGAAGTCCGCTTTGACCGGTCGCCATCTTTGATTTAAGCTAGGTCACTGACGTTAACAGACAAATATGTCACCTTGGCACAAAGGCTGTCAAATCGATGTAGCAGTATGTGCAAAAATGGTGTTGCTGCCAACGTTCGCTTTTGTGTTGCGGTTGAAAGACCGCAGAGGGGAATCAACTTCACCCCCCCCCCCCCCCGGCTGGGTGCCGGTTAATGGCAACAGTTAAACGTGCCGCAATGCTCGGCACGGTCTGTTCTACCCTTTGACGGGATCTGATCTTTAATGCGGCCAATGCCACGGGATGCAGACCATCCCTGTCAAGAGCAAATATAGCCTAAAGCGACTTGAACCCATCCCGCCACGGGTGGGTGGGTCAGGAGTTAAACGACCAACTGACCCCTACTGACCTGATTGATCTGAATTGAGCTGAACTGATATCTAACCAGCTGAGCTATTGGGGCGAAAGTGAACTATCGGGACGGAAAAATTGATAGGTGAAATTTCATAATTTATGATAATTGCAGTTTTCCAGTAATATCACGATGTAATATTTACTCATTAGTTCATCTTCAGTAATCCAGAAATGCAGTTTATCCAGATCAAGAGATTTTTATATGCATACTTAACTCGATGGAAACTGAACACTCAATTTCAATAGTCATCTAAAAATATCACGTCTTGCCACTCATTTCTTATATCCAACACAACTCCCTGTTTTGCTGGACAGAAAGCATTTCGGTGTGCCTTTGAACTCGGTCGACTTCAAGCTCCGCTTACAGCGGAAGGATCTGCTGCTAATGTGTCCAGGGAAACCCAGGCTGCTCAAATTTCCGGGCTGTTACGCATGAATCATTTTAACCATTCACTCCACCGCTGCACGGTGTCATTCCGGGAAGCTTCAGGCCTTATTTGCGCCCGGTTTCTATTAAGCAGGAAGGCAAAAAAAACTAGGCTGAGTGCGATTTGGTGGGAATAACGCAGCGCGATGAGCGGCAGCGCGGACACAACGGTGGCCACCGATCAGCGACAACATCGCGCCCGGGTGGTGCTGGGTTCAGTGCTGCGAAATACTCTATGATTACGTATATAAAAAGTTATTTATATAATATATGGCTATAAATATGAAGATGAATACGATATAAACATGAAGACGAACATGCATAGAAATATTAATACAAATATGCATATCAATATAAATATAAGGTATGAATAGATACAAATACATGAATAGCTGCCAGTGCTAGTGTTGGGCACAACGCCGGGATGCAACTAGCATGAAAATAATCAGCAATGAGCCCGCAGTCTGCCCGTCACACTCAAGCACACGCAAGCAAGTGAAAGGCACGACCCCACCAGACGTGCCGTCTGGTGGGGTCGTTGCGAGCGCACGCGTGCACTTACCTGTCAGCGTGAAGACGCTCAGCTCGGAGGAGAAGGTGCTGACGAAGCCGGCCAGGTTACAGAGTGAGCTGGAGCGCCAGTCCTGCTCGTGTACCGAGTACCGGCCTCGGTAGTACTGGTCCACCACGGCAATCATCAGCAGGTAAACGCCCATCAGACAATCGCTGAATGCCAGGTTCACGATCAGGAACGAGTGCACCTGTCGGCAGCACAGGCAGTGCGGTCGTTGAGGCACGGGCGGCCCAGAGGCACGGGCAGTACGGGAGGTATGAGTGGAACTGGAAGCACAATTGGTACTGAAGGTATGGGCGGTAGTGGATGTACAGGAACGATACGCGAAACACTGGCGGAACGGGAGGCACGGAAGGTACGGGAGGTGCGGGCAGTACGGGAGGCCCGGACTGTAGTACGGGCGAGGTACCGGAAGCACGGGCGGAGGTACGGTGAGGTACTGACGGTCCGGGGACAACGGGCAGAGGTGCGGGCGGTGCAGGCGGTGCGGTAAGTTACGGCCGATCCAGAGGGAAAGCACGGCTGCCACTGTCTGCTAAGTGGGAAGATTGCGATGCATAAGTGTGATGCAAAATACGTTAACGCTATCTCAAGGGCATGTTCAAAATTTCGAGATATTAAAGCGAGCATCAGTTTTCCCACTCACTTAAACTCGCTTATCATCATTGGTATACATTTATTGTGGAAAACACTGCTCTAGACGACACAATTCTCTCCATTCGGTAAACATGTTCCTCGAAGCGTCATTGGTTGATTGCGTCATCGCACTTCGCACAACATTGATTGAGAGCCAGTTGACTGCCTTTACGTCTGGAAATCATGCTCACGAACGCCAGATATGAACAACAAGAAAAGTTACATTTGCATTGACCTTAATCGCTGCATGGCCGGTGGCAGCGTCCTAGAATGGCCAACTCTGGGTGTGAAGCAACACCCTATGAGGAGGAATTTTTCCACTCCTTTTCCCCATATTTTATGTGAATTTTTCAGTCCTGTTTGTTATTGCCTAATCGCACATGCCAAGCCCATATCTCCCTTTCTGAGACTTTCAGATGTCATCCAAAACTGAGCTCACTTGAAACCAGCAGGCATAAACATGGCTCCACAGAACGTGGACACCTATGACTATGCCTCACTTACATTTGAATCATGTCCATGTATGCATAGAGCAAAGGCGCCAGGTGCCATCAAGCCCAAGAGACCCAGCGACTCTATCCGCTCGCATGTATCAAGTTTGGTTTGGTTACAAAATGCATCACAATCGGCAGCTGTATGCCAAATGCAAGGTTTTCACACATCCCCATTTGTGTCGGTCTCACCGCCACACCACGAAGACAGAGCCTGGTGCAAACACCAGCAAAGCCTAGTAGATAATTTTGCTCCACGTATTTATTTTACCCCCAAAAACTTAACAACTAAATTGCATCACTCCCAAAATGCGGGAGTAAAAAGAATTCAAGAAATGGCTTCTAAATGAAATTTACAACATGAATATCGCCGTTTGAACCCTCATGCTCACATATTTTAAGTCAAATTAGCTCATGTCCTTATATTTATGTAATTGCGTTTGCTTGTATTGGTATCATACGAGTGTGACGTAACTGCATTCTTCTTTCCTTTGCAATTGCCTTTAAAAGTACCATCTGTTGCTTAAAATGTTGACTACTATCTTTGCAAAATGTTCACATTGCAAACTTTCACGTATTTTATACGTGAATTGGATTAATTCGCCATCCGCCCAAACATGTTTGATACGCACCCAGGAGTGAACAATTCACAGGGAATGAAGGAAACAATTTGAAGCACGGAACTTATTTTTACCGCCATTTTCGCGCTGTTAAACCCCCAGTAAGCCGTTTTTGGGGGTTCATGGCGGTGCTCGATAATGTAAAATCTAGACCTTTCTAGTGTCTACCTGACCAGGCTACCTGACCAGGCTACCTGAAGCGGGCACGCACAGCTTTGGGACAGACCTGACGCAGCTAATACAGAAGTGTCTGATAGCGAAATTCTGCCTTCTTGAGCTGTTTTCTTTCTTCTTTCGCATTTTAATATCTTAGGTTGGTAGACAGGATTGATACTTATATTTCGGGATGGGTAGGATGACCCTGTCTGTCTGTCAGCAAACCATACGAAGTGTACTGACTGTTGTTTGGGAGGAGCAGGAAGGAGTGTACCCTGAAGAAGCCAGTAAGTCTCCTGTGGAGCAAGTACTTGCTTACATTAACTGCTTTCAACACATGATTTGTAACTAGAGCCAGCCATTTTCTTTTTTAATCCATCGATTTTGGTCATCAGTTAAATTATCAGTCAGACCATCCCATTCAAAATGTGAAGCCAGCATCTCAAACTTTGTCATTAAATATGAGTAAACAAACCTCACTAGATTTATTTGCTGTAGCTGAAAAGGCAGGCAGCCATACTGGTATGGTCATCTAGAAGTTATGTTACTTTTAGAGAAGGGAGATTGTTTTGTGGAACATACCCATTATCGCCCTTGACAGAGTTTAACGATTCCAATGGGAATAAGTTGCTCGAAGTGATATGAAGTGTTTTGATTTGTGTGTTGCAAACTTCATCTGGTGTCAACAAGCTGACACAAATGAACCGAATAAAAATGCAAGCTGAAACCAGCCAAGATTGAGCTTATCATGTTTTTATCACAAGTGGTGCGGTCAACAGATAGGTGAGATGAGTTGAGATGATGTTCAATATAAGGGATTCTCTAAGTTTGGTTAAATTTGTTAATTGCATGGCAAGTGGAAATAGGAATTGTGCAAGACTCAGTGACTCACAAATGCTGCTGTGATAACAACAGGTAAGACAGAATGAAATAAGGCAAGGCCTCTTTAGGCTTGGCATAGTTAGGCTTCTTTCATGGAAATAAGCATTGGTATTTTACAAGAAACAGTAACATAATGTTTGGTTCCCTGAACCCATCTTAACAGAATCCAGATGTATGTCTGTTGTGTTTGACTTGGTGATGGGCTGATGTGTAGGAATCCAAGGTTTTTTGTTTGTGTGAGCGCTTTATGCTTGTTGAATTTATTGTTGTTGTTTTGTTGTTGGATTCCTTTGCTTTGTTTTGCGTTAAAAAATGCTGTGGAAGGGAAGCACAAAGTGCAGAAAAAAATTATTGGTTTTACATCGTTTTTATGCTCATGACACTGCTATAAAATTACTATGCTTAAATATATCCTGCTTCATTTCAATGGACTAAGATGTTAAAAACAAAACAGCTTTGTCATGTTTATGATATCACATTCATCACAACTTGAAATGTACGTCTCTGTTTGCTGAAGCGTCTCTCACTAGCCCATAAGTTTCATATTTCGTGGACTGAATTTTTCACTCTCGTGCAGTCTTTTTGCGATGGAATTGTTCACTTCCACCCTAGTTCAAAAGCGATTCTAGCTCACTGCCCAATGGAATGGGAGGATTTAAATGACGTGCTTGTGGCGGCAGATATGCTGGGGTGACTTTGAAATAGTCCGCACGAAATAACCTGCACATCTTTATAAGCGTGCGGCTCACAAACTAGACGGGTTTACGCCTTAAGGACAGGACTCTAAACTGCACGGAATGCTCGTGAATATGGTCATTTTGGTTAAAAAAACCCATACAAATCTGGAACACTCACTTTTAGGGGAGTGGGGAATGGACTGCAATGAAAGGAAGTAAAACACTCGCTTTAAAGGAAGTGTCCACATTTGTATGGGGTTTTGAACAGAACTAGCCATCTCGAAGAACATTTGGTGCAGTTCACAGCCCTGTCCTTACGACTTAAACCTTTCTAGCTTCTGAGCTAAAAGCCCGCTAAGATGTACAGATTTTTGCAAATATGTCAAGTTCACCCAGACATCGAAGGTCAAGAACAATCAAGGTCAAGTCTTTCGAGGTCAATGAAAATAAAATTGTTGAGTCGTTCATCGTGAGCGCCATTTACGGATATAACGCCGGTCAATTGGCTCTAAATCAACGTCATGCAAGGTACGATGACGCTATAAAACAATCACATACTGTGAGGCGTGTTTGCTAAACAGAGAATTGTGCGGTCTAAAACAGTCCGCTTCACTTAAACGTATTCAAGCAGTTACAAGCAAACTTATTTCATCATATCTGGTGTTTGCTTCAGTATATTTAAATGTGGAACATTCCATTTGAGCGCGCAGACTTCACAAAGGCACTGCCCTTCATGATGTACACGTACTTGCAGACGTGCTTGTTTTAGCATCGTGAAGCATTCCACCGGTTCAAGCAGTGCAGTTAGAAAACGCCATGGCTGAGAGGTAGTGTGAAACATAGCAAAGCATAGTGAAGCATTCCACCGGTTCGATTAGTGCGGGTAGAAAACACCGTAGCGAAAGAGGCACATATGAGTCGCAAACGTATGCACTCTGCTTCATGTCCTGGTCCGATTAATTCAACCAACGATATAACACGAGCGAGACGGTAAAAGGCGCGAATACGTCATCACTATACACTTCACATTAGCATTCCCATTCCATTGGCACTAGTCCAGAGCCATTCACCGCAGAAACAGATCGCAAACTGCTAGGCAAGCTAACTTCACCCAGTGATGCGCTCAAAACTATCTCCGGTGTGTTACTCCGTCCTGTGCACAGACCTTATAGCTGGGTGTCTGTACCACAAACGAACGAAATATTTTCGTCGGCTGGTATCTGCTTTCTGCTCGGATACTATGACGAAAGATAATAATGATGCTCCTTGTAATGCTATCTGTTCACGAACTGAGTGCGGCGCCAATAATCATATAGGCTCATTCCATGATACTGACACTGCACATTCAGTGCCACCAATCATGTAAGCTCATTCTCTGATACTGACACTGCACATGCTCGATGCCGCTGTTGGTTTAGTGGGCTCCCCATCTGATGGTACGTCGTACAGATGGGAAGACAATACTCGGTTCTGGAGGTTTCTTCGTGCGGGTCATCCACCTTGTCGCTAGTCTTGTGAGCCCTCAACTGCGCCGACCTTATTGCTGATCTTATGCATTCCTTTCTTCGTCCGTCCCATACTGCTCATGATCCTCAACGCTTCCTATTCCAACGACCTACCTTCCCGCTTCCCGCTTGCCAATGACCTACCTTCCCGTTTGCAAATGACCTACCTTCCCGCTTCCCGCTTGCCAATGACCTACCTTCCCGCTTCCCGCTTGCAAATGACCTACCTTCCCGCTTCCCGCTTGCCACTGAACTACCTTCCCGCTTCCGGCTTGCCAATGACCTACCTTCCCGCTTCCGGCTTGCCAATGACCTACCTCACCGCTTCCCACTTGCCGATGACGTACCTTCCCTCTTCAACTACGCACTGTCCGCCGCCACCAAGTCGCTCACCTTGTTGCTGGTCTTGTGGACAGACGCGCCAGCACATAACCACCAGGTTGCCAGAGAGCGCCACCGTGCCGAGCACCCAGATGCAGGAGCGCAGCACGATGTTGGACATGAGGTCCTCGCAGCTGGAGAACTCGTCGGCCATTGGCAGGCATGTATCGGCGTGTCGAGCCAGACAGCACAGACCAAACATGTCCGTCTCCCTGGCAACCGACAAGGGTGTGCTGTGAGCGAGATACGAGCCAGGCACCGCAAGCTAGACTTGTTCGTCGCTTTCAGACCATCGTATCTGGACAATTCGTCATGCCCGATACCTGTACGCCACAAACATTCAACTGAGCACAACCACGTCTTAAACCGTAACCCATCCCACACCCAGCGTCTTACCGCGGACCACGCGTTTGAAATGTGTCATAAGGCCGTCGTCACTTCGCTCTGGTCGAGCCCTATTAGCGCGTGGATCCTGAAGAGCAATCCCTATTAGGGATGCGGAAATCAATTCCTATTGATTCATCCCTAATATCATCCCTATTAAGGGTGCGGAAGATCAACCCCTATTAAGGGTGCGCAGATCAATCCTTATTATCAAATCCCTATTATGATCATTATTAAAGGTACGGAAGATCAGTCCCTATTAAGTGACCGGATGCGAAAAGGACCACTGGGCGCAGCGCTCGCTTGAATCTTGCTGAGCATTGCCACACGTTGAACTTTCGTCACCAAATTCTTGGCGTGTCCGATATGGGCTCATACAAGAAGCATTACTTGACGTAAGCTCTGGTCCCAGAAATCAATCCATTCAAAAGTTCGAAGCACTTTTTGAGGCAATCTTGTCCACAGTCGGCCGCAACCTGCCCAGTAGTACGGCGTTTCCATGCCTCGAGGGATATGCACGTTCGAACTTGTGCCGCCTGTTCGATCGCAGCCTCTCTGCCCATGCAGGGTCAGAACCGAGGCCACCAGACTCCGCTGAATCGGGCCCCCTGTAACAGGCTCGCTCAGACCGATCCCAGCGCTTGTTGCCACTAGGAACTCTGTCTCAATGCCTGTGTTCCTCTGATAACCGGCATATGACCACACGAATGCAAACGCTTTCATGCTAATATGACAGAAATGACAGCAATATCGGAAACATACATAGACTGGTCATTGTAAGATACCGCTGGTAGAAAAAACGGTTAACTTTGGCAGTAAAGGATTCAAAATGCGCCTCCTGACAAATGCAAGCGATGGTGAACTCCGCCAGCTGCCAAAAAATGTCCAATCAGGACAAACACAAAGCGAACGAACGGTAATGACCGGTGAATGAACGGTGATGGCACTGTCAATTACTGCCCAAACCACAGACTGGTAGGCTGTAAATCTCCCATGACCTGAACAGAATGTCAGACTAGAAAGTAACTGACTGGAGGGCAAGCGTTTATTTTTATATACTGCGTGAGCCGCTACCTGGCAACAGTGTTCAAAGAGCGATTGACAAAATTGTTTTATCGTACCCAACCTGAAAAAGCCTCTCAACGTATGTCAAGAGGCAACGTTTATGAATGCATTTCTTCCACATTCTAATAGCAGTTCAGAAGAAAACTTCCTGAAATGTGTGACAAGCCATACATTTAAAAAACGCCTATGGCAAGCTCCATACTACCTTAGCAGTTCATAAGCCAAATGAAACCATTCTTAAACTTCTGATTCCCTAATGCTAAATTCGGAGCGTGCGTTTATCTGACTGTGTGCTCGCATTTTTTTTTCCAGACGCACAGCACGATGGACTGCGCAGATTGCCGTAAAGTTTGCACGCACGACGGGCTCAACCATCGTGACAATTCATAATATGAATTCACGCCCGTCCAATACCGGTTCGGTCACAGGGCGTGCCAAAAGCATGTATGTTTTGGCATTTGGAGTGGGCACCTTTCGTATATGTGGGAGAAACAAGCTGTATAAAGTCCAAGCTCTCGAACGCTTGCCACAACGGTAGAGTAGCGATGCACGTCCTGCCCTCATACGCGAGGAACTGCCAGTTGAGGCGGACAGTTGGAGCTTACCAAAAACCTATCAGCACATACTGAACATTGTTGAGATGCGAGTCAATGGTATGTGGCTGGAAGGGACACCATACCGATACCAACGGGACCGGCTCTTAGCGCAGCAAAGCAGGCAAAATTCGGAACTTAATTATATATGTATTTGATGTCGCGAGTGCGTCAAGCAGCGTTGCATGGACAATTTGTCTGAGAGATCCACGAGCGTCGAAGCGCCACGGCACGGGTGACGACACTGTCAGCGCCAACGGCGGAGCAGCGTGACGCAGGCTATGCGTGCGGGTGATCCTTGAATATAAACAGCCTACAAATAGTAACTCAAGTGCGTAGCCAAGTGGCGCAGCCAAGGGAGCAGTGGCCCTTGATCCATGAGGTTTTTACTTGGTACAAGGTGATTTCGCGGAAATTAGGTCCAAATCGCAGGAATTCGATCGTCGTTATTTAAGTGAGATATCAGTAAATTTCTTCCTAACTGTCGGCGTTAGTGGCCGAGCTACCGATGCCAACAGCGTCGCCTCCTCGTGCAGCGAAGCTAGCACGAGCCCCCTGATATTACCCATGCATTAACACCCAGGTCCGCGTGGTATGATACACTTGTGAAATGAGTATTCGCATGGGCTTCACTTGTGTCGGAGTCTTGTGGTGAGGACTTCGTAGAATGCAGATTTCGACTCACGAGCGGTATGGCCACCGCGTCCGACACCCATTGGCAAACGACTGGACATCACGCTAACAAATAGAAGGTCTGCTGAGCCGGGCACGCGGCGGCGGGCCGGTAATACTTACAGATGGTGCAGCGACACCAAGCTCCTGAACACGTCCCGCGGGGGCCCCTCAATCTGGTTGTCGCTGATGTCCCTGGAACGGCGTCCTCGTTTATGCCAGCGCCCGCGCGGGGCTATATCGCAGAGGCATGACATGCGGAAAACGCCCCAACAGTCACGTGACAAGAGCGACGGTCATAACTAGAAATAATGAATTAATTTTTTTTTTAAACATACGCCAGTGGCCGTCCGTCGACGCCTGCTCGGGCGCAAGGCTGTCTGACATGGTGTGTACTTCGGGTGCTGGGTGTGTACTGCTCTCGCGCATGGTCCAATGGGGGTGGCTAATGCACTGGTCGCTAATGGAGTCGCTAATGCGATCACGCTACGCGTCTGGGGATCTCGAAATGCGTGGTTCGATTCTCCGCAGTGGCCGCCCCTTCTGCCAGGTTGAGATGCAGACAACGCGATATAGCCTCAGTTGCCGAGTGTACCTTAAAGCCCCAATGGCGACAACGTCTCAACATAGCTAGTGCGTTATGCAACAGCATTTGAGTTTTGCGATATTGGTCTCTATCTGTTTGTGGCAAGACCATCGGAAAGGTGAATCCGAAGCGGCTCCTATGGGACAAACGCCATCCGCCAAACCCTACGCTTTAACTGTGACCACAATTTGAGTGTCATCAGCTAACTGAAGAATGGTTACACCATCCGGCAGCTTGACACCAAGGCCGCTTGCAGATGGCATGTGCTATACGTAGCTGAGGCTTCCCTCGAAATACCAATTTTATTTCTTGTCTCCGCCGAGACAGCAGTTGTGAATCGCCACGCAATTGTATCGGCTGCCAGTGTCCCGCAAAACATCGGCGAACCAGCCTGCCCAAACATCATACAGTTAATTTTTTTTTGAAAGGTGTTTGATGCGGCACGAATGGAACCATTTTAAATAATTCAAATAACTGAAACTGAAATTGCGTCCTTGTCCATCGCATGGTCACCGTGATCCATACTGTCGATCTGCGCTGTATCGGCGGAGCGCTGTACGTTGTTATCTCGGTGGAATGTTGTATATTGTTGTCTCGAGGGAGCATTGTACGTTATTGTGGCGGTGGAGCGTTGTATGTTGCTGTTCTGGTGGAGTGTACATGTTGCTCCCGTAGAGTTTTATATGTTGTCTCGGTGAAATGCTGCATGCTGTTGTTTCGGTGAAGTGCTGTATATTGTTGTCTCGGTGAAGTGTTGTATATTGTTACCTCGGTTGAGAGTTGCATATTGTTGCCTCAGTGCAGTGTTGTACATTGTTGCCTCAGTGTAGTGTTGTATATTGTTGCCTCGGTGCAGTGTTGTATATTGTTGCCTCGGTGCAGTGTTGTATGTTGTTGCCTCGGTGCCGCGTTGCATACTGTTGCCTCGGTGGAGCGTCGTATGCGGCATTCGTGTCTTGTCGGCGGCATGCTTGCCGTGCGACGTGAGTCAATGCTTTACGGTGTGTTTCCAGGTGGGGAATATGCCATCTCGGTGCGATTCACTCAACAGCCCACATTAGGTCAGAGAAATTGGAATAAGCAGCATATTGTTGCATGTGCAGAATTGTTTGGAATTCATGCACGCTTATAGGTCAGCTTTAATGATGGTCTGACAAAAATGCTGGTTTCCACTAGAATGCTGTAGGGAGTTGCTTTAGAATAAGCCAAATATCATAGTGACGAAACCTGCACAATTATCGCGTCTCACCCAGCTGAGCAAAACAATCATACCCTAAGGTTTTAATACCGTTTACGACCACAAGAAGACAACGGCGTGCACGCAGATTTGAAAACTACAAACTAATACTTACAAAACGAGAAGCTGATTTAGTCCGGTGAAGGTGGCAACTTCTAGTTTTCGCAGCCCGTTGTTGGATAAATTGCTGCAGACAAAATGTAAATTATTAATGCAGGGTATGGTTGCATTATCATTACAAAATACATATCAGTGAATGCATTGAAAAGTAAGTGCTTGATACGAGGCATGATGATGATGACAAATACTAGGTTTTGGGAAACATCGAGGTGACTTTTCACATGGGCGCATTTTTTGCCATTACTCTAAATCCATAATCAATGTGCAAGATCATTTCATGTTCCTCAAAACGCATGTATACCTCAAAAAAACACAGACCATCTGGCCACCGTCCTCTAGTGAGCGAAACAGTTTGTGAGAACAGCATTACAAAGGCAACCTTGGAACAGGGGCCGGTTTTTTGTAGAATTGGTCAGATTGGTGTGTTTGTATGTATGCGATTGTGCGTGCGTGCGTGCGTGCGTACATGTAAGCGAGTGTTTTCTTATCCCTTGAGGGTAGCTACATGGTTGCCAAGTCTAGTTAGAATCCATGACAACCCCAGATTTAGTAGTTTTGAATTTTTGTCGCAAAAACACCATTAACGCACGCAAGAGGAGTCAGCGCACTATCTTGGCACGGACAAAAACGCTTGGGGAAGCACACCGTGGTTTCATAGCTGTATCTGCCTTGCAGCAAGACCTTACGTACCACACGTAAGATCTTACAACTCCACTAAGTCTGTGCCATGCCACGCAGGTTTCGACTTGTTGCAATCAAGCTAAGTGTAGATTCCCACTTCGCTTTACACGACATGATAGTCATTTTCACAAAACCTTATTAATGCACTACTGTGCACACTGCATGATATTTGTGAACTGAATCCCGACTTCCGTTGTTGGATCCTGATTCTTAGAGAGTTTTTAATGCTCGACTGACTCTGCATGAGTGGCTTGAGTTCCGAACACCTTGTCACGAAGAACACGAAAGCCTGCATTCTGGCGTACCAACTAGATAGTCCCAGCTCCGCAAATAGATCAGTTTGGTCATACCTCCCAGGTAATAACGCAGGCGTCTCTTTTGTTGCTTCATGTACAGTTCCGACGCGGTCATAACGATATTAATAATGATATAATATAATGCTATGATATGAATGACAATGACAATGATACAACCGCCAGCTGTCTGCCACGGATGGGCGCAGGCTTAAAAGTTTGATTTTGTTGTATTAATGGACCGTTTTATCACCTCTGCTGCACGGACAATGCTGCTAGAAATGACACACTTGGAACACTGGGTAAGGACAGAATAGCACACTGATGTACAGCGCAAATGAGTAACTTTTAGTGCGGCTCCTGCAACAGCAGATTCTCGTCACTTACAGGTTGACAAGGCGACGCAGGCCGATAAATGATCGTGATGGCAGATAGTCCAACATCTGGCCACTGAGATCCCTGCAATGAATCAGACATACCAACAGAGATGCAGAAACACACCAGATTAGTCTATACGGTGGGTAGCAAAAACGCATCTCAACCGTAAAATGGCGGAATTAACTGTAAAAACCATACACTCCCGTTTCACGAGAATAACACACACGATCATCATGCATGTCCTAATGCTGGGTTTGAGCCATTTGCACGCCTCAATTTAGTTACCTTCTGTTCGTTCCGTATGTCTACCAAATGCTGGAAACCGTACAGATGGCGGGTTTCGCACGTGATTGGCGGGATATCCAAATTACCTGCTCCCTTCTACCTGATAAATCACGATTAATCGCTCTCAAAACTGACGCAAACAAACACGAAGATTCACCATTGTGGGGAAAGCCTCGCGATGTCATACCTCGTCCTGTCATACCATATCCTCGTTACCTTTTGTTTCTCTGCTACTCCTTGACTGGCTCCTTATGTTCGTAAAAACTAGCCAAGTCCTGCGCGCGCTGCGTGATGTGAATTGCGCATGACCAAGAACGGTGACGCTTCGCAAGCATCGACATAAACGATGCCTTTGCCTAGGCTGAGCCCTTATTCGGGTCGTTCCTTCACTGACCAGAGCTAATGTGCCCGGATGCCGAATGGAAGGCAATGAGACGCCTTCCAGTCGTGGTGGCGACAAATAATTGCTCACAGACTGAAGGTGACTTGAGTTTGATTGGGTGGCGCTCAATTGACATCTCATCTAATTGTTTCAAGGAAATTATCGCCTTGGATATGCTTATTCCTCTTCCAATGCAATTAGGTGTATGTTCGGATGCCGCTTTTCGAGAGGACTCAATCCTGAACAATCTATTCAATCCGTGGACAACGGGTGCCTAACGAGACAGGGTCAGGACACCTTTTTGAGACGACTCAGTCCTGAACAATCTATCCAATCCGTGGACAACGGGCGCCTAACGAGACAGGGTCAGGACACCTGTTCGCAAGCTAAAAGACATCACCCCTATCTAGGGTGCTTAAAATGTTGTCGCTAGTGCATACCTTTAAGAAGTACCCAACGGGGCTGCCAGTGTAACGTAAGTTGCCCAATTTTGCCGATAGCCATAACTGTGATCCATGGTCGCTTGTTTCTAAACACTTTCTTTCAAAGTAAAATTGTCTGCACGCCAGGTATGAGTAGAAATATAAGATCACCAGCGCCGATATACGCGATGAAACGCATATGTATATATATATATATATATATATATATATATATATATATATATTCATCATACATAATTACGTGAAGATCTGCAAGACCAGACGCGGACATTTATATTCACAGTTATGCAGAGTTGGTGCAATGGTATCATATCGCATGTAACCAAGCCAAATGTATTTGGGGGACCTAGATGCAAGGTGTTTTGAAAGAAAACAAGCTGCGACGAGAAGTCTTACAGCATATTGAGCGATGACAATCCCAGGAAAGAGCTGTCTTGAACCAGTCTGAATCCGGTTGCCTTCCAGGTAACTGAGAACGACAGAAGGCATGGATCAGCATTTCAACATCAGATATGCAAGATGACATTTGGATTGGTACATATAAACATGACCACCTGGATGCTTGTTAAATATAAAAAAGAAGTTGTCGCCTAATCGTATCATGTGACGGCCGTTGGACCACTAAATTAACGTCGGTTTCAGAGATACCACAGACTAACCAATTTACTATGCTATGTCGCGAAGCAAGTTAAAAAATGTAGCAACTAAGCCATGAAACTCACGGCCTTTTGAACCATTTGAATCCGGGTGGTTAATGAAAACAAAACAAGTTGGAAAATTGTTTGTGCGACATGCTGTTTTAGAGAAAACAATCACAAACGTATCTGACAGCATGGGGAGCTTGCGTCGTGTTCTTACGTACATTGCTTTGACGTTTTGCAGGCCGAAGAACGTGTGGTTTTCGATGGCGGTAATTTCGTTGTTCCGCAGGTCGAGAACATGCAGACGGAACATGTTCCGGAACACCATCGGAGGTATGCGCCGAATACCGTTGGAACTGAGGTATCTGTAATTAGTAGCGCTGGGTTATGTTTCACTGTGACTTTCGCTGTAACTTACTTAAGGAATAAATAATGGTTGGCGGCATGAGTATCAACTTATAAAACGTAGAGATAGGTTGTCTCTTTTTGGGTTCATTTTACCACACAGATAGCCATATGCTGTATGTTGCTGGTCATGTTTTACTGTTCTATTCCCTGCAAACTCTAAAAAGCTCCTGTGTACCGTCGTGGCGTATGCCTGTCAGCTCTTCTGGGGTAACAAGCCGACAACTTCATGCGAGACATTTATGAACTTGATACTAAGTGACAGTCATTTTGAGAGTGGAAATGTAGGATCTCGCACTAGCTGGATTTGATGCAAGAAAGAAGGCTATGTGCTGTCCGTGTGCCCTCGCTCCAACTCTGTTCAGGATGAGCGTAGCACTAAATATTAAGAGCCGCCGGCATAATCGTTTAGCACTGTGGCCTCATCTAACCAATATCTCCCCTGGCATGCAGAAGATCGCTAACCTAGCATAAGAGCATTGTACTCAAGACACTTAGCTGGATCTAACAGCCATCTAGATGACACCGCGTAAGCAATGCACGGTGAATTCATGCAACTCAAATCACACCATATTACAAGGGAAAAATATCCGACTTGATTAAACCACGGGCTGGGGGCAGATATGTGATGCGATTGACTACACCGCTTCTCCAGCCAGTCTGGTGATGCGCCCTTTGTTTACAAGCAGCTGGTGGACGAAATCATATGGTGATGCTGTCCCCATAAATGTGTGATGGACAAAACCAAATGCGACTTTGCTCGTAAGCGCTTCAATAAAACACACTTGTTCATAAAGGAACTAGCAAGAACCTTGCACAGCATCCATTTCCCCCGTCTTCACATGAAATATTAGCACTATTTTGCTCGATTCAAGATATGTCCATCAACATCATAATTGAAACGGTGTAATCTGCAGGCTGCCAATGGCCACATTGGAATCTTGATGTTATACCGGAATACGACGTAGAGAAAAAGCACACATTGCTTTTTTAAGCGAGCAGTAACTGTTACTTACAATTTAACCGCCCGTTCGTACCGCAAAAACAGCTGGAAGCTCTTCTGGAGGTCGATTCTGTTGTCTCGAAAATCGCTGCAACGAAAGCATTTCGACGCTGAACTACGAAAACCTTTACAAAATATGTGGGACACCAATACCTCATGTGAAATACTAACAAATACACTGATCGTGATTTCTTCGAGCAGTCACTTGTTCAAACTGACACATCCTTGCCTGGATGCAGGTCAGCACAACTCATTCTCACATTCATGTTTTATGTACCCCGCTATCATTTACATCTCGGATGTCTCTGATCTCCGCTCGCCATGCCATGGCTCAGCTCAATGGATGCAAGTGCTCTTTGAACAGTATATCGTGGCCAGTTAGCTGTTGGAGACCGGCCTGGCCAACTCCAGTCCTCCGTGGCGGACTCCTGAGGCCCGGCTCTGTCTGAATCCCGTCGGATGGCGCTTTGAAAGATCTGAACTCCACTCACTGGTACGAATGGGGTAGGACATAATCCCCTCCTTTACAGCAACCCATATCGATCCCCGTTCTGCCCATATGGTAGTCCCGCTTTGGCTGTCACGCATGGACAGATGGGTACGCATGTGGTGGTTAAATGCTCTTAGAACCCACGGCATCGCCGGGCATAGCTAGATGAGACATGACCCAATTTTCATACTTTTCATGCAATACAAAGCATGGGAGATGATGTAAAGATTATTTTAACTACTCAAGTGCCAACTACAGAAGCGACATCCTCAAAAAATGCTAACCGAGCATATGCAAGTAAAGGCTCGGCGAACCGGAGTGAGTCCATTATTGTATCCTTAGGAGCTTTCGAATAATCGATCGCACTACAATGCGATATTGGTTGTCTTGACAGCTGACCAACGGCGCAATACTGGCCTGGTGACTGGCTTGGAGGGATCTGCTTTGGTGAGCGACGTCATATGTCTGGTCCAATGCATAGCCCATATGTTCGCACCCACACTACCACATAGAGGCAATCAATCTTCTTCAAGGCCATCCTGCTCGTCTTAACAGCTCATCAGCTTCGACCATCAGCAACTTTCCACAAAGTTGAGCGCCACTGTCGACTGCCCGGCACGGTCATGTAGGATTTAGATGTCCGTGCAGCCTTCGTTACAAAAACTGACGAATCAGGGTAAGAGTTAAAATTGTTGGCTGCCATCCATTTTTATTAGTTTTAGATATGATGTTCTGCAATCTACATTTCAGATCACGAAAACGGCAACTACTACATCGGAGTGACACATTTAAATACCAACATCCAAGCATTGGTAGACATTCAATCAAGAAGCCAAAATTGCCTTCTGCATGTATGCGCCATGCAAATCTAAGATTACCTATGATGTTTGTCATGCATAATGCAGGAGTATCAATTCAAATCAATTTCTGGGGCACTACGCAATATTTATGTTGGTTTGAGCCCCTCAATGCTGATTCCTTCCTCCCCCCCTCTGCCAACATTTCTTGCTGGAAAATTATAAAAAAGATATGAGAAAAAAATAATCATAGCACACAGCCATCCTCTCTGAACTTTATTTACTGACCATGATCCATGGGTTGCTACCTCCACTAACCACGCATAAAAACTGGCACTCCTGGCATTATGCCACCATCACACAAATCATATTGATTTCTACAATCAATGTAGGCTGCATATAAGATAGGTTGTCTGCCTTCACAAACTGTACGTAAATGTATACAGTGATCATGTCAATGGTTCCATCAGGACAATCTTATGATTAAATGTTAGCAAAAACAGTAATGAAATATATCATATTTGCATCCATGCGATGTCGTGCTCACAACTGCAAAGAAAATATACGTATGAATGAGCACCACGGAGCAAATGGCTTCCAGAGCTTTCCTCTGACAGTAAGGGTACTATCATCAGGAAACAACCAACGGTGTCCTCAGAGACAAATCAGATAAATGTCCAGCAGCCAAGATTCATGTTGGCAAAAGACTGAACTGTAAATAATTGGCTAAATGCTATGAAAGCATTGATGAAATCTTTGGATTTCAGGCGGGGCACAGTTTTTGAAGATCGGTTTGCGAGCAGTGAAAAATTATGCAGTGTACCCCTAAGATATGGATGCCTCCCGGATTAGCACACTTCTTTGTAAACTTAGGGGAGGGATGGGGCCCTAAACCGAATAAAAAGTAGGCGCACTCCTGATTTGAAGATCTATGTGACTGGTAACTATTCTCTATCAGGATAATAAAAAAAATGGCATGAATTGACATTTCAAAAATATTATCACCTTCTGTTATTCCCTTCATGAGGAATGCCATCAGACTTCAACATTACATACACTATTCTTTTCAAAGGAAAGAAGGCTGGTCGCTTCGCGACGGCTTTCGTGAGTCAGCAGTCTTTTCGGTGTCTTGAAAAGGCGGTTTGGATAAACACAGGTCAATTTCCACCTTGATTGAATCATCCCGCCGACTTACTCCGCACTGTCAATACCTTCTGACGCTGAGAAAAGGATGCTGAATCGTGGCACCGCCAACGAAATACGTAAGGTAAAAAATGTATCCTTGTCAGGTCTTCGTGACACTAGTATGCGAATGCCACTTGCAGAATTGCGGTACATTGAAATTCACCGCCCACCTCACATCGGTCGCATCGCAACGTTTGAAACATGCCCTTGCGGCCAGATGAACCTCCGTATCTAGATTTTTTCAGTATTTTATGCTGTCTAGTTCTGGACACTGAGGGTCGGCTGTTAATAACAGCCCATCGGCCGACCGGCTGCGCCCGTAGAGTACTGTAAAGAGTTTTTACGGAAACATTCGCTGGTGTGTGACAAAATGCATTACCATGGAGGCATAATATCTATGTGTGGAGACCTCATGTTATGTTTTGCATATGTGCTGTATTTTTTCGTCATGGCTGTCACCAAAATCTGCTGTCCATACATTTTTTTGGCGCTAAACTTCGAGTGGATAGGTACATTTTTGGTGCCAAGCTTCGCGTGGATACGTACATTTTGGTCGCCGACATTATCCACAAATTCGGCAGGTTTTACCAACGCCGGTCGACCTATACGCCCGCAAAAATGTACAGGCTATTTCGCGCAGGCTATTTCAAGGTCATCCAAGCGTCCATGACGTCATAATGGTGCTATTCAAATCCTGTCATTTTATTGGCCATGCGATGATCAAGGCCGAGCAAATTTAAATGTCGGGTCGTTGAAAACTGGTGTTCGTGAGCACGATTTCTAGATGTAACGGCCACCACCTGGCTCTCAATCCACGTTACGCAAGGTACTAATGACGCAATCAAGCAATGACATATTGAGGAGCATATTTACGAATTAGAAAAATCGTGTTGTGTAGAGCAGTCTTTTCCAATTTGCATCATTGGTTACGCCAACTTCGCTACGCATCTACCACAAGGGATACATTATCTTAAAATGTGATTAGGAATAAAGCAAACTTCGAGAGGAAGACGAACCTTTGCGCGTATTCCACCAAAAATCACATTGAGACGCGTGCTGTCTGCCGATGCGGCGCCATCGTCCCGTCATACTCTAGACACGAATAAACCAATGGTCATCTTTGTCTTGAAGTTGATAATAATAAAGTCGTTGAGAAGGCGGAATTGGAGCGACATTCCCATGACATCATGCACCTCTGGTGACTTTCAATTAGTCAAGAAGGCCGCAACAGTTCGCGCGCATCTGGATAAAAAATGAAGTCCCAAAAAGGGCATGACCTTGAAATGCGGGGATGGGTCTTAGCAATGACTATCTCAGTTTAAATCACCCATATAAATGGGGAGCGGTCCCTTAGAGCTGAAGTTTTGTAATATATATTTTGTGTCTAAATTCATTGGAAGTCATGCAGAGCTTGATATTAACCCTCCGTCCCTTGACGAGAATTCCGTCTGCATGCCTGCATCTAGTTGGTATGTTGAATAAGTCGAGGCCTTTGGCATCATCCCTTCAGTAGCGGCGCCATGACTTGACATGATATGCACGTGTGAGCAGATTAATCCTTATTTAACCAACATCCACGGACCACAGATTTCCCTTAAAATCATATGCCCTGAGTGCCCAGAGCAGCAAATAAATCATCACGTCCCAAATTGTATCTTTTGGCTCTTTAATCATCCTTATTGCGCTCACTCGTGCATCGATCCGAATTATCGACGATTTCTAAAACCTCTTGATGGGAAAAACGGAAACGTTTGACATGTGAGCAGGACAGTTAAGCTGTCTTATTGCACAGTGAGCTTGAGGTCAGTGCTGGGCAAATATATATATATATATATATATATATATATATATATATATATATATATATATATATATACTTATGCCGTCGGCGGGTCGGACCTGAGCCACGTGCCATGTAAAAGGACGGTCCTGGGTTAGGCTCGAGGTTAGTGAACATGGGCCTGGGTAAGGTCGGGTTACTCCCAAATCAACCCATGACAAACACTGATCAGCGGACGTGACCTTCACACAATCTTCCAAGGAACTGATCCCATGGTTAAGCTTGAGCAAATCCTGAGGCTGGCCCCAGGTTGGCTCACGAGACAGTGATGCCATGAATAGCAATGACTCATGCGACCCACCGGTTTCCCAAGGCTACCCCAAGGTCAAGGTCATGTCAGGTCAAGTTGGTAGAGCAATTTACTATGATTATGCTAGACATTTTCCGGTGCACCTGCATTATCGTGGCATCTAAATCGTGTTCGTTTAATGTCATCCAGGGAATGGGTCATCCAAGGCCCCAACATTGCCTCATATTACTACTGGAAAGTAAACAATGGCCTGCTTTGAATTGGACCATCTGACGCTGACGCGCCAAGGCCTACGAAAATAGATCAAAACATAATGTGCCTCGTTTGGCCAGTCACTCGGTGTTTTATATCAGCTTTAGTTCATCGAGTGCAGGTTCGGCAGCGCACATCGTTGAAAAGCAGCGCGAGCACAATGGCTGCGCCAGACCTGGGAGGGGGGAATTAACTTCCCGCTACGGTTCTCCCAGCACACGGAAAAACCAAACACTGATAGGAACATGACCTTTTTAGTACCCGTTCATCTATCAATTTGTGCAAAGCTTCGTCTCCAAAGATCAGTAACTTAGGTCGGGTAAAAGAGGTCAACCTATTAAAGGATTTAAGAAGAACTAACCGAGAGAGAGAGAGAGAGAGAGAGAGAGAGAGAGAGAGAGAGAGAGAGAGAGGAGAGAGAGAGAGAGAGAGAGAGAGAGAGAGGAGAGAGAGAGAGAGGAGAGAGAGAGAGAGAGAGAGAGAGAGAGAGAGAGAGAGAGAGAGAGAGAGAGAGAGAGAGAGAGGAGAGAGAGAGAATCTGACTTACGCTCCTGGAATAAATTAATTCCACATCCCAGACGGCGGAGCAATCTTAACCTAGCGGCGACCTCTATGCCAACTCTTGAATCTCTTGAATCTCTTGAATTGCCATCTCAGCCTCACTTGAATGTGGGCAAAATACAGCCGAATGGCTTCGGATATCACGCTCGCGATTGCCAACGTAAGCAGTTCAACGTAAGCGTAGGGATAACCTCTTCGAACGACATTGGTCGGCCGTGATACACCTTTGTGTTCCATTCACGGCTTTCTTGCCACGGCCGTGCTAACAAAACGAGCCACAGCAGTGCTAAACAAACTATTGAATGGCGCACATTGGCACTGCATTCATTATATAGTCATCATCCTTGTGCAGACAACTAATACATAAATTAATTGTTACCTTAATAACTCAACTTAATAGCAAATCAAATCACATAAGTAATGTAATTGTCACCTTATTCTTACTGTTGGAGACAGGATGGGGTTACAGGCCGCTCAGATATTGAAAACGAACCAAACTAGAGCCTCGCGGAAAACAGTAATTCGAAACTATTGTCAAATAAACCTGCCAGACCAATCATAAGCGTTGCCTCTGACAGGTCAAATCAGGTCTAAGGAGGTGCACTTTAAATACCCTTTTTGTTATCTCAAGAACTTAGCACCCAACGACGCTGTAGAAAACTGTGCTGAATGCCTCCTGATACGCGCCAGGTTGGCCGGTTGGATATCCGTCGCTCGAGTGGGGGCTAGTTTACCCCCCCCCCCCCTGTCATCTCAAAGACTAGGAGAGCAAAAAACGTCAAATTGCAGGGTATGTTAGCCCAACATGTGAACTCACTTGCGCCAAAATTTTAGGCTCCAAGGTCATGTTCTTTTGGGCCAAATACGGTGAAACTTAGTCAAACCAGATTGGCATCCAAAGCGGCCCAGAACCTAGATACCTGTTCTACGTGAAAGACCCCTGGAATTCATTTCAAGCCAGTGACCTTGATTGAACTTTTGCAAGTCACGATGACCAAAATCATAAAGGACTGCTTTGTGTTTTACATTTGTACAAGCGTCAAAGATTACTTTAGGCAGTATGTTCCTAAAAACACAAATTTCAACTGGCTTGCTTTAGGTCAGTGGCCTATTTTGACCTTTAAGAAGTCATGGAAAAATTACAGTGCGATCCCTGCGATCAGTCAATTCGAAATGAGCTCCAGAAAGTACCCCATACAGAAAAAAACAGTTAGGCTTTATTCTTCGTCTGACCTTTAAAGCAGACCCCAGTTCAATAGAATTTGTTCACCAACTTGTTGTGTTGCCTAAGAAGCTATCTCAGAAACGCACGTACGCCTTTGCCTAACACACCGTTGTTGTATTAGATTGAACGATTGTCTGCAGATTGTCTTCACTGTATCCATGGCCTGATTTTGGCCTGCCATAGGTCTGGGGCCTTAAAGAGTACATCTAAATTTTTAAGGCCAAAACAATCCGCTATTCAATTGTCCATATATACGTCAACACTTGGCGCGGCTACGCCGCGTCGTTCGGAAATCATTTGGGGAAGGTCTTCGGAGGTCAATTTGGGCCCCACCCGGGCGTGTGTTAAGAAATCCTGTATAATAATCGTTAGTGGATATGGAAAGAGGAGTCTAGTAATCCTGTTGCAATAGCACTTACCACAAAAAGAAGCAGCATTTGCTTTTTTCAGCGAAATATTACCAACGAGCCCATGAGAAAAAGGTCATAGAGTATTAAATGTCAAAGTAAAAAACAATTTTTCACAGCGAGTAGTCAAACGTTGGCTCAGGTACTTAGATTTTAGCACCGCGCTTAAAACCACTCAAAATTCATTCTGGAAAAAACATCATGGAGCCACTGAGGCTTCCCTAGTAGGGCTTCCAGGTTAAGACCGTATACATGGCCTCAAACTACGTCAAGTATTTCAAAAGCACCAGATTCACGCTGAGTGCAAACGGCTCAGGCTCCACCAGCCTACAGGGCATTCGAAAATCAAATAGGACAAACATGCCCGGCGTACTCGACCAGAAATCAACAAATTTGTGGAACACGGATGGTGATAACTACGAAGACCACTCGATTTTTTCACCCTATTGAAAACTTTCACGTAACACTCCGTGGCGCTGCACACGAAAATGTCATGCCTGGTCGAGGCGACCACCCGTGGTAGCCCATTTGCCGTGGGCAGTGACGTTCGCTCGGCTTTCTGTGGCAGCTCTATTATTTTGGAGCGTCGTGAGTCGAGGATGGGTCATATGTCTTCCTTTGGCCGGCGAAATCAACCGACACTCCGGCAAACCAGTCTGCCTCCGTTCATCCAGCGAAACGAAGCAAAGTTTCACAAGGCTTGCGGTGTTCAAATCCCGCCGCCGCCTTATCAGTAATAGGAGAACAAGATTGGACTCCACCTGAAATGGAGAACAAGGCCAACCCTTCCATCTTCCAAGTTAGGAGAATGCATGGCTACTCACTAGTAAAGTTCATTTTCACGCGGAGCAAGCCTTAGCCACACAAGATAAACATCAAACGGAGCGTACAGCGTTGAGTGAGGAGGTGCAGAACATCCATCGAGACTATCCCACATGGGACAGGTTTGATAGCCATTCCAATTCCTTTTGTAAAGCTTGGAAGCCTCCAAAACAGTTATTACAGAAACTCTCTGAAACACAGCTGTGAAATGCACGCTTAATGTGGACAGTTGTTCTCGGAACACAGACCAGCAGCCGCTGCGTTCCACTGAGCACACTCACAATATGGTGATCTGAGACTCGATGTGCTCAGGTGGAGCGATCCTGGCCAGGCCTGTGCAGTTTATGGTGACGTCACGACACTGGCAGCGCGCGTCCTCCGAGCACTGGAACGCTGTCGGCAAACCACTGCGCGTCATATCGCGTACATCACAGCGGTGGGAGTGCAGAGATCGACTGGCTGCCTCACAGGCGACGGTGGAGCTGGCATTAACCTCTAAAGCCTAGAGATGGCGAATGACGCAATGGAAAACACCCAATGCAAAAAAATATCGGAGGCACCAGAAAGTCTGCCACTGATGGGAGTTACCGCTGTCTTTGAGTGTTCGGCAAAACCAAGTTGTTATTTACAACTTGTTTGTTGTGTGGGGGCATTAGAGCTGAAATGGTTTACCGAGTGCGGACTGACATGCCGCATGAGGAATGGAATCATTGCTTGTAATATGTACTCGTCTGGTGTGTTAGTATCTTGCACTAGGTGCTGTCACAGTATGGTGTAAAGTCTTGTTAAATAATCTGTAGATACCATCACGTAACATCAAGACAAGTGTCTCGACAGCTAATCCATCTGTGACACCGTCTCTCAATCATTTCAATCAATCAATTCTCTCAATCAGTCAATCGTAATGCTGCAACGATGCACGGATTCATGACTTTTGCGAGTGCTGTTCAACAATGTCCAAACAAACAGGGCAATCAATCGATAGGTGTCCCATGCATTTTGACCAGCATATGATCACAAATAGCTCACGGAAAGAAAGCAAAAGGAATGCATATATTTTGCATGCCCCATACCATACATCCGAACTCCGTACTGTTATTGACGCGTTGCATGCATAAAAGGGATTCTAGACAAATGGCGGCTTCCTTTATAACCAGTGAGCGCAATAAAACAGAACAAAATGGGTAAAACAAAACAGACGGAACTGAATACAACCGGAACAAAACGCGTAACAATAATGTACGGCAGCTTCACGTATTTGCAACGAATAAAGCAATGCGAAGATTCGTCATACCGCTTAGCAGCCGGGGACCACATACGCTTCATATCACAGTAGGGTCACAACACCACCGCACCGGCACCGGGACCCGCAGCAGCGTGCCGAAGGACTAACGGCACTCACTGCAAGGGTCCTCGTCGTTCCAGCTCTCCGCACAATCAATCCTGTTGTTGCAGACAAGGCTCATGTTCAGGCATGGGCCGTTTGTGCACTTGAACTCTGTGCTCGGACACTTCCAGCGGTCTGAAACGCAACACATTGTCGTCTTGAATTTGATTTGCTTCACTCTTTGCTGCTTTCTACGCTTTTGCGTTCGTCCCCGCGTAATTGTGAGGGTATAATTGGGACAAGCGATAGTGACTCGAACGGAACAGCGGTTCAGCAAATTGCGTGTGCATTGTATGTTGTTCTTTAAAGAGCAGTTTCTAACGTTGCTAAGATAGCTTCCAGCAACGTGAGCATTGTTCTATACACATATTCAGTGCATGCCTCTAATTCCATCTGACTTCTATTCGAGCACTGACCTCACATACAAGAGCAAGCATGAGAAGTGAGGTCGTGTGAGGTCTACCAGCCCTAGTAGATGTTAGATAGCGAGCAGGATTCATGGATAAAGGTGACCCTCGCCATTATTCGCCCTTCGTCACAGCGGACGGATAAGGGCGGAGATTGTGATCGGCGGACTCGTCTGTTGGCGTCCGGTGCTCGCGCCGGCCATGAAGTGCCGAGCGGCGTTCCGAAAACCGTCGATACTGGGAAACCAGATGGGCCAGAAACACGTATTTGGTGTAAAAACACGTGCATGAGATTTGGTATAAAGCTGCTCAAAATCTTTACGTAAAACACACGCAATGAGTTCCCTACGGACTAAGTCAAATTTGAGAACATAAAGCAACATTACGGGAGGCATCACCCACACTTCCCAGCGGAGCGAAGGCTAAGAGCGGACTCGAATTCCCCTATGAATTTTTACTTCCGCGCAGAGGCACGCGAAAACGTACGCAAACACACAAAGCCATACTTGCAAGCACACAACCATAAGCTAGATAAATGAGAGCATCAATTCAGTTGCAGATCTAATCACGTTATGTAACGATGCAATCATTTCTTCTACTTTTCTGGTATGCGCTATTGTTGAAGTGTCTATGATATCTGAAGATGCTGGCAGGCTCAACGAGACGTTACATAAAACTATAGGCACACCCTGAACAATTACGTTAATTTCCAAATAAGCAGGCTTGGACGGATCGAATCATTACATTGCATCATTACATCATCATTACAGCCAAATAACTTCAGATATAGTGCTGTTTTCAACGGTGCACTTTTCCAGAAAAATCTGCTCTCCACCTATTTGCTTATTCATACAAACTAATTTAGCACGCAATAGTTTCCCTTCCTCAAAGCTGGAAATACTCAGGCGCCTTTCCCACATGATTGCTTTGCTTCCTCCCCCCCCCCCCCCTGCATCACTGAGCCGGCTTTGCGACTCGGGGCGCGCAAGACTCACCGCAGTCGACAAGGTGGGAGCCGTCCCCGCAGCCGCGTCCGGGCAGACCCGACTGGAAACAGCGGTCCCGCAGCGGCACACACTGGCCACTGGCGCATCGGAACTCCCCAACACCGCACTTGGACGGTGCGGCTGAAAGGAGAGACGAAAGTTCGGCCGGCGCCTGGGATCGAACCCACGACGGTCCTGAGCCATCTGTCGGTGTGCTGTTTGGAACCAGCAGAATCGAACTTCACAGTGTCATGTATCGGGTAGTGATCGATATGACTTGAAATATACATATGGAAACGAATATATGCGTTTACATATATATATATATATATATATATATATATATATATATATATATATATATATATCAATGCAAGGTTTCTTGCTTGCAAAGGCAAACACATCTTGATTAGCCTTTCGCGCGTATGTTCCCATGTTCGGATCAAATCCTTCGTTGTCTTCGGCGAGCCATAGATCATGTCACCAATGGTCTTTTATGCTATTCTTATATAGCCTGCTTTTCATAAAAGAAAAAATATGAAACATGCCGTACTAGAGTTGGAGGCGGAACATCAGTCTGCGGACCACAGATACGAATTTCGGGTCAAGGCGCAAAAAATCCAGTTTACTTGCCATGCCTTTCCCCTCTGTGATGTGATCCAGATGCTGATCATGCTGATGTCATGGGGTGACCGCCCAGTCCCGGGACGGTGCATGATCTTGGTTGTTAAGGCCGGACATGCTTTCCCTGACGAAGATGGCTACCAGGAGTTGTAGACGGTGTTCATTTGAAGACGAGCTCAGGATCCGTGTGCTGTAGTTTCATAAGGTCGCAGGTGTTTTTGGCTGTGGGTTTTGCACATAGGCTGGTCTGGCAGGTGCATGGTTTGTACGTTTGAACTCATAACTGCTGATCTCCAGCAGGTGCATGGTCAGAGGTCGTGATAAGTATATAGTTGTCATACCAACATAGGTCGAGCTATCCAGCCCGCAGCCTCTGTTTGATCTCGTGACTCGTACTCAAACTCGTTTAAACTCGCATAGCTGAGCGTTTTAGTTAGTTCTTGGCCGCGGTCGGGTTCCTTTGAAGCTCGTTATTTTGGCGTTTTTGTCCATCTGCATGATCTTTATCTTAAAAACGTTCCGGAGAACTTCATTCTCAACACTGTGTGACAGGGACATTTTAGGTCCATAGAACAGCAAACTCAGTTTCACGACGCATAGTTTCGGATTTTCACGGCTGGGTGCTGCCCCGATCTCCTGGTCAGCGGCGCTCTTGGAGTAGCTGCTATTTACTGGAAGCTGTTTACAACGTACAAGATTGTGGAGAGTCCTTCATTAGTTAGAGCAAAATGACTCTGATCTAGCTGATATCACCGGGATACGGAAATCGTTTTTAAACCAATGTGGTCTGCAAGTCCTGGAAGCCATCCTCATCTGGGAAAGGATGTTCTTGACAAATGATATTTAAAAATACCTTGGCCAATAACAAAGATCATGCATCAAGCTTGAATTGTTAATCATGCATTAACCTGGAATCCCGTGACATCAGGGGAACCAGTGTCTGGAACTCATCACGGAGTGTAAAAGCATGGGAAGTGTACTTTTACCTGGTGTTGTTATGCGCAGTCTGTTAACTGGTGGTGTGCCTTTAATGGTCTCTCGTAGAGCATGTTTCATATTGCGTAATGCTCGAATGTTTTTATATCCCACTGATCTGCGTTGGCTTGAAAATGGGGAACGCATATCTTTGTGACGTTACCTACCTTATATTAAAAAATGTCGATTGGCAAGCTATCTATGGCTTACCAAAGTAACGAAAAATTTGATCCGAACAATCCAGCAAACATGCAAACTCCGATAAAATTTACATTTGTTCTTCCATCTAATAAACCTGAATCACTAAAAGTACTGCCCAATCATAATTAATATGAATAGCCTATGGTGCTATGCAGCCTACCAATGAAAAGAAAGACAAATCCGTGACATAGACAGCGAGGGGTCGATCCGGGACCTGATGTGATGGGAAGTCACCCATGAGAACGGAGCAAAGCAACCAAGCATGCATAGCTCAGAGATAACCAGCTCTGCTGTATTCCGACCAACAAGAAACAACGTTTGATTTACTATTAACACGCGCCGGCTAGATACCAGGGTGGCCGGCTAGATGCCATTCGCTCGGGTGGGGTGGGTGGGTGGGGGGGGGGGGGGGGGGCAATTTGACCCCTCCCCGCTGAGATCTCGGGAACTAAGAGAGCTAAAGACGCCAAATTCACAAGGTGTGTTGGCCTGTACGTGAACTCACTTTGGTCAAAGTTTGAGGTTCCTTGATCATGGCCTGCGGGTTAAATAAGACAAAATATGGTCAACTTCAAGGCTGGCCTCCAAGTGCCTCCATAAATGTTTCTAAGCAGCGGTTCGCATGTTCAGCTAAGGTCAGTGACCTTGTTTGACCTTTTAAAGGTCATGGTGACAAAAATCGTACAAGACTTCTCTGAGTTTTGCATTTGAATAAGCGGCAAAAGTTACGCTACGCAGCGTGTTTCAAAAAACAAAATGTTGACCTGAGTCATGTTAGGTCAATGACCTATTCTGACCTCTAAGAAGTCCATGGAATGTGTATAATGCGGTTCCTGCTATCCATTAATTCGAAATGAGCACCAAAAACTATCCCATACTGCAAGCCCTAGAGTTAAAAACAGGCTGGTTTTGACCTTGGTCTGACCTTTTTACCTGACCTTAGGTCAACGTAATTTGCTCATTCAATATTGGCGTTGCCTAAGAAAGCGTCTCAGAGATGCATGACTTCGTTTAACACTCCATTGTTGCATCAGATTGAAAGATTCACTAGAAATTGCCTTCGTTGAAACCATGGCGTGATTTTGACCTGCCATAGGTCAGCGACCTTACCAAGTACATCTAAATTGGTGATGCCAAACGATCTGCTATTCAACTGTCTACAGCTGTGAAAAATTTGGCGCGGCTGCGCCGTGCCGTTTGGAAATTATTCCGGAAAAAACCTTCGGGGAGCAATTTGGCCCCCCACCCGAGAGCGTGTTGACACATTCAGTGATCATGCCCACATCAGCTAATCAAGACATTGCCGCTAAAAGTGGGCATTTTGCTCTGCCTCCCCCCTCCCTTCCTCCCACCACTCGCCTCTGCCCCAAACATCCGCGGCGCTGTCACTGAACGAGTCATGTGACCCCACGCACCGCAGGCCGTCTCGTCGCTGTGGTCCCAGCAGTCTGTCACGTGGTTGCACCATTTGTGCGCCGCTAAGCACTGTCCACTGGAGCATCGCCTGAGGTGAGCTGGACAGGCGATCGTCTCTGGGGGAGGACATGTGATTACCACACCATTATTGGATGCGCACTGCGCTGTGAGAGCGAGCGCCTGGTAACGATCGCGCAGTCTGCTTGGCCAGTTGCATGCAACAGGTCGCCCCAGTCAGACCAGAATGACTGTCACAGAGCTGCGCGACTCGCCAAGACAACATAACGACATCTTGTAAAGTGATATTAGCATTGCTGATGGAAAGCCTGGATCTCTTCGCCCCCTCCCCCCTCTCCTTACAGTCTTACAAGCCCATATTAACAAAATCATGCCACGGAGCAGCACAGCACGGCACGTTAAAAAACACTATCGGCTGTTCAAACACCAGGAATTACACATTTTTACCTTAAAACACGCGAAATTAATGCCCAAAAGGCTGGCGAGCATTTTGGCGTGATTGCCGTGATTGCCAACGCGCCAGGGGAATTTTCCCAGAAACCTCAGGAAAGGCTGCCTCGATCGCCCCCTCCTACCCCCCCCCCCTCCTTGTCAGGGCGAAGGTTAGCGCGCGACTGCCTGGAGGCTTAAAGTTTTCCCCTTCGTGCCTGGAGAATAGCTTACGAGCTAGGGAAGGCATGTCCATCAAACTTTTAGCACTTCACACATGATCAACTTGACACATTCCGGACCAATGAACAAATTCGATGCATCTTCAGGTCGCTGTCTCATGAACCGGGTAGAATAAGAAGTAGAACATAGAAGGGTAGAACTTTGCACAAGACATACTGGGGCGGGGGGGGGGGGCAAACATCCATTCGAAAGGAGAGGGCACCACAGTATTTCTCCCCGGGGCTTCTATCCAATGTTCTTAACAATGGGGTAGCCGTGTTTGTAAGGGATGCTCTACCCTTGACAAATTCGAGCTTTTGGACTATTGGACCAAAAGTTTTTTGGCGGGCTTTTGATGACTAGTTTTTAATAACGCGATTTTGCTCGACCAGACTCATCCTCATGAACAGAGTGTGTATCTCGGAGCCATTCAATGTAGGCGGCCCTGTCGCGAGCTGTGGTCGGCGTTACAGGAGCGGGGGCAGGGGTGGGAGCTTGGGACCATTAGGGAGATGTTTTGGGTACAGGACATCAGCTACTTGGAGCTACCACGTTTGCACGGCACTGGCGCGACCACTACCCGGGCGCGTGCCCCAGTGTGCACCTGCGTCACAGGCACTTTACGCCGCTTACGCACTTTCTTTGCCTTCACATGAGTGGCTCTCTGACAAACACCCTAGGGGTGCTCCTCTGCATCAACCAGCAGTTGGTGGGAGGATCAATATGACTCTACGCCAAGGAGTCTAGGAGTACCATCACCGCCGCCCTCCTCCCCCCCCCAAAAAAGGTGTGTTTGTCAGACGATACGGGTGTAAAATGGCGCATGTCAGACGATACGGGTGTAAAATGGCGCATGTCAGACGATACGTTTCATGTGATCCGTAGGCAGCTGGCCATTGGCGCGGCGCATAGACGCTTTTTATGAAGACTGAACAGATGGTGATGACGGTTTTTTGGACGCAAACGGCGGGTAAACGCACATTACCAGAGAAAAAATAAAACTGTCGTGCGGAGCCTGAGTGGAACGTGCTTGGAACGCCGTGGCTGCCCTCAGTGCAGCCGGTGTCCTGAAATTGCTTTTCGCTTGGGTAGAAGGGTGATGTCACTATTTACAAGGGGGCGAGAAAAATTAGCTGATTGCTCATATGTTCAGCGCGACGGAAACAGGCTGGAGTATACAACATTTGACTGCTTCCTAAATGCATCCATTTTTCCTCTTTTCAGGTTCCGAGTCACTATCCTGCTGGTTTCGCATCCTGCCCAAGCACAGTTATTTCCTAATTCCAGACATCGTCACCATCTACTGTCCACTGAAGATCACATGCTCCTAGTACGATAGTTATTCGTGATTAGCGGTAGAAGATGCATCTCAGATGCAGTTTTTTGTGATGAGTGATAGAAAATACATGAAAGACGCCAAGCGACCATCAGGAACTTTTCTCAGCCTAAGTGTTATGAGTACACCATACACGGACAAAACCACGATGCCACGTTCTCAACTCAGAAGACGTCGAGAAGCCAGTTTTTCACATCGTGGCATGGAATTCAAGGCGCTGGATCTGCCAGCACGTTTTCTTATTCAGGATACGTAGAACGAGCAAGATGCATACAATGGACATTTCTCATCCTCCCTTAAATCCTGAACTTACAGCACATGTCGATTTTTGTGTATCATCTTTGCCAAAAACACTCCCACAACAGATGTACCGCGATGCGGCACTCATCCCTCATTGGGGCATGCTGAGATGAAGCTACCGGATTGCTGCTTATCTGCAAGCTCAGCAACAAGAGGATACCAAATGAACTGGAAACGCGCCACAACCTCCCGTGCAGTTATACTACTAATGCTTTTTGGGAAGCCCATTTCTATCAACGATTAAACATTATTGTAGAAGCACTGCACAAGCCATTAGAATCAGCAGGTTTTTGCCGGAGGCTAACTTTCTACATCAGGGACTGGTCTGGTTCAGCGCGTTGGTGGGACTGCGCTGCCGTTTCTGGGCAAACCCGTCATTGCTTTTCGGCGGCAATATACTTTTGGCACAACTAAAAACCAGATAAGAGCTCTTGCCATGCCGTTTTTTCGCCGACTTTAATAACACAGACCGATAGGGGATGCCACCCCTTGATGTTTCCATAGTAAGGAAAGATGGAGTGCCGCGAAATCTTTACAGGGAAAAGTTCTATACAAGATCTCGCGATAGGTGAAAGTTGTGCCGCTAGATTCGAAGCGAGCCCAGGGGCCTGATCAAAGCTAAAATTGTCCTGAAATTAGAATGTTTTCGAATTTACATGCTCATGTGCATTGAACCACGCGCTGTGGTGACACACCGCCGTTCTCAGAATTAGCTTATGAATAGGCCCGTAGAAGTTTTGGTGTGACTTTATGTGTGTAAGCACACGTGGATTATTTAGGGCTCTGTTGATGTGACGGTGTTGGCTCGCGGCACAAAAGACGCGGAATCATCGGTTGCTGACCGCCGCACGCCGCGGCAATGGATCGTCGTGCAGTGTTCATAAAGAAGCTGTCGCGTCTTAGAGACCACTAGTGTTAGGGGCACGTTTTTATGTCAAAACACGTGTAGTGCATGCCTCAGAGCCTAGCGACAGTTATTACCCGATTGTACAGCCTGTCGGAGATCTAGCCCAAAACCCTTACGGGGAAGCAAACCCCTCCGTAAGCCTGCGTGGATTTGTATAGACTCATAAAAAGTTCAATAAAAACACTATGCGAAAGCTGATAATTTTCAACATGTAGAGGCGCAAAATCTCCGGACAGCCAAGTGATGAACGCCGTGTGGTGTTAGAGGGTGTGAATTCTGGGGGACGGGGAGTGGTGCCTCAAGGGTGCTGCTCTATATACCCAAAGATGAGACTCATGTCACCTTAAAACAGGTTGGCATTTAAACATAAAGCATGCATAATGAAAACAAATAATGGCTTGACAATTCTATCAAAATCAACAAGATTGCGGTTGGGTTTGTATGCAAGGTTTTAATTGTAAGTTAAATTATATTCAAATTGGGAGCCTTCATCTTTGAGTCTTTTGGTAGAATCTTTAAGGTAGCAGCTGATAAAGTTTATGATTCAAATTGCTTTGGCATTGGCAGCTTTGGATGTCTAAATGGGATTCCAAAAGCAAACAGTGCTCAACATGAGGGTAACAAATAATTGCTTCTTGAACGGAGACCAAATGTTTTGGTTTCAAAATGTTGTGCAGGCATGTCAGTCTCAAACATAACCACTAGAAAATGGATTAGTCAAGTACTATCCGCTTCCTTGAATTTCTTACTTCCATGTCACTGTTCCCTTCCAGACATTCAGGTCGTGTTTTCAGTTTACATTATCATCTTTTTCATTGCGATATTTCTGTCCTCGTTTGCTCACACAAACTCGAACGGGTACGTTGCAGAAGCATCCTGGCGCATTACAATGGTATCAACCCATGAGCATTTGTTTGATTGAGGTGGTAAGGAAAAATGTTATTCACAGGCCCTAAGAATTTATCTCCGTTGCTTGACGAGCGACCACAGCAGCGCATTAAGGTGGATGTTAGCATGGCCGCGGTAACGAATGGTAGAAAATGGGCATCTAACTGAAAATTGTTCTAAATTGCCCTGTTCCCTGTGCACCTGGTGTGTTAAAGACGTTTTAAGCATCCCTAAATAAGCACATATTTATTTGATTCACTAGTTCAGAGCAACAACGTCACACAATGAATGGCTTCTGACTGAAAGTAGATCCCGTCAAACTATTATTATCGTAGATAGTTTAACTTACTCTCGTGATTCTCACCATGCGCAAGGTCCCGAGTGAACGGCTTGGAAAGTAGATCTCCTTTGAACTATTATTATCGTAGATAGTTTGACTTGCTCTCGTAATTATCACCATACGCGAAGTCCCAGAGTGAACAGCTTGGTGCCTCTAGCGCACAAAAACTTCGGTTGCTTGCTGCGGCCACCCGCTTCAGCTAACGTCAACATTCCAATATCCCACGGTTGTGGGCGATTACTTGAGATCGCTCAAGCATGTTGAGGCGAGCAACACTTATGAGAAGACTAAGGCCGAGAAAATTATAACAGTGGGTTATAATGAGGACTTGAGCATGCGTAAAATTTCTCGTTAGCGAGACCTGCTGAGCCTTGCCGATCCACATGTTCTAAATGGAGCGTGGTTTGCTTGGTACCAAACAATGAAAACAACATTTATCACATGGGCTCAAGGTCGCTGATTACGTCCACAAACAAGTCAACAACAGCAAACTATTATCACGATCACCATTACTATCAACTACCACGATCGCTTGCATCCAACACGTTTTCTCTGGAGCATTTTTATCAGTTATTGGTGCCAGAGCTCATTGGCGCCGACCAAGAATTCGTTCACCGCCATTCATAGGGACAAGGGCGCCATTCTGCGGAGGCACGCTTGGCCTTTGCCCCGTGAA